GAAATGATATTTTCTTCTTCTTCTTCTTCTTCTTCTTCTTCTTCTTCTTCTTCTTCTTCTTCTTCTTCTTCTTCTTCTTCTTCTTCTTCTTCTTCTTCTTCTTCTTCTTCTTCTTCTTCTTCTTCTTCTTCTTCTTCTTCTTCTTCTTCTTCTTCTTCTTCTTCTTCTTCTTCTTCTTCTTCTTCTTCTTCTTCTTCTTCTTCTTCACTTGATTTCAATCAGCCGGTAATTAACAGGCTCCTGCAGAGACGATGAGTTGCTGCACAGATGATTCAACCACTGAATCAAGAGTGTTGAAGCAGAGAAACCTCAAACATGCTGGCCTGGAATTTAAAACCCCTGGTCTGGAATCTAGAGCTACCACCAGCAGTACAAGACCCAACTCTAAAAGGTACAAGCTACAAATCGAGTACTTTTTTCCAAGAGTGTGCCATGATGTAACTACTGTCTGTCCTATGGAAATATTTTAAAATAGTAAATAAAACAATTCAGTTTCAACTTGCAACATTCACTGTCTGGATATTTATTAGAATTAAAAGTCTTACAGCACTGCAGGAGCGTTTTTGTCAAGAAGGTGACTTAATATAGCAGGAGTCCTGCTGCACAGCAGGTCGTCACTGATTAACCCTGATATTTAAACTGCGACCAGCAGGAGGTAGAGCTAAGCTCCGGTATCACTGTCCACGTGTGCTTTGGACGTATGATAAGCTTTGTAGCGTCCCGCTGTGAACGTGAACAGCGTCCATGTGGCAGAGGCCAGAAAACTCCCAGCTCAATAAATGATCAAGCATGAACATTTTAACTGTACTAGATGTAAAACAAGTTTATTATTAATTTTGCATGTTTTAAGATTTACGCAAGCTGGCAGACATTTTAAAACTAACCTGATAATAAAAGTTGAAACTCCTTTCATGCATAAGACATTTGCTGACAGAAATCTATTATTTGTGTCCTAATTGTTTTTCTTATTGTTTACTCCATCCAGACTTGACTCCTTTAACCTCTTCACACAAAAATAATATCAATCACATCTTCTGACTCATGCTGACCCAACCTTGATGATGCAGCATTGGGGGTGGGGGTGGTCTTCCTTCTATTTGTCCCATGACTCAGGATTTAGTCAGTCAGTGCACCTTGACTCATCTCCAACCCACCATGACCCAACAAGCTGCTTAGGAAAACGGACAGATGGTGCATGAAAGACTTGGTGCGTGCGTGTAGGCTTCGTGGGAGATGGTGCTCCTGTGAGGACTCGTTTCATGTAACTCCTGACATCACAGAGAGGGGTCGGCATGCTCTCTGTATGACTGATAAGAGTAACCCCCCCGACAGAGCCCGTGGAAGTTCCTTTGTCCTTGAGAAGCTCAGAAAACTAGTAACATTTGGGCAGGAAATGTTTTCAGTCACGAGATATTTAACCCTAATTTGCACAAAGTCTTAAATCAGAAATCACCTGTTTGCCCCTGAAGGCACCTGAACAGATATAGTAGTGGTTATAAATATGCAGAAATTAATAAGAGATCAAAAAATGAAACTCAGAATTCTGCATAGTCATGGGATGCTTCTGAGCGTGCATCTTGAAGCGAGCTAAACTCCCTTTATGTAACAGTAAGGTCCAAGTCATGTGTCCAAAGCCTCAGGGTGATTAGCAGGGCTTTTCAGTCTATCCTTAGCGCCCCACACATCTGATTAGCAGGTAGAAGGGAAGCATTTGGAAGGGTTTCCCCATCCAAACGCCGGCAGCACATCTGCTGTAGGAACGTACCTTCTAAATGTCTGGAGCCATTTTTCTCATCCAGCTGGGTGGATCATAAATAATGTGAGTATCCTTCTTAATTTATGCTTATAGAACGGCTCAAATGCTATAACACTTGGAAATTATTATCATTTTGTGTGCAAGATGCAAGCGTTGCTTGTTAAAATGTATATATATATATATATATATATATATATATATATATATATATATATATATATATATATATATTGGCCAATATATCTCAGGGGATGCATTGCGTAATTCAGGAGAACCAAACACTTGTTTTTAGTTGTGCTGAATAAAGAAATACTTTTGCATAATTCTGTTATGAGGCAGGCGCTTCATTTGTTCAGCAGCAGCTAATATCATCTATAACGGTTTTAGGCATTCAATTAAAAGGTAATTGGTGCAAACTTGACTAAACAGTTAACAAACAACTGTTGTAGTATTCACTACTTTATTATTTGATCAAAACACCTCATTTGCAATGACAAACTTAGCATATTTATGTCTTCATCTTTAAAAATGTCAATAGTTCTAATTTTGTGGTTTATATATGGTTTTCAGAGTCTGATTGTGCATGAAGTAATTAAAAATCAATGCTTAGGATCTACGTCTAAATGTAACCGAACATATTGGAACAGTTTATGACTAAAATGCTGACATTAAAAATTACAAACTCCCACATTAAAAAAAACAACAACTGAAGACCCTTTTATTTAAAGTTGGTTTTACCCAAATCTTTTACTTTCTTATTTTTAACTCAAATTTGTAACCTTTCATCATTATAATATTATGACTTTATTTTTTCTAATGTGTTGATCTATCTTAAGCATTTTGTGATTCTATCTGTGATAAGTACTATATAAAAATAAATTGACATGTATTTATATGTATTACATGTAAATAAGAAATTCCATAAACCTGTACTAAGGGTGTAAGACCTAATTCACTCATGGGTTTCATGGTTTTTTTAGTAGATATTGATGCAAATCAAATTCTGGAAACAATGTTTTGTTGCATTCTAACTTGGCCAATACTATCAGCCAATACTGGCATTAAAATCAAAATGAATGGAATTGTTTTACACTTTTAATGACACAACTTTGCACATATTACACACCAAACTCTTCAGCTACCCCTCTCTCTCAAAATGTCAAAACAAGACAGATTTGAGGTACAGTTTTTGAGCTATTTGTGTTTGTTTGACACAGCAGGCCTATTTTAATTGAAGTACTTGTCATATTTTTCACAGATAGCGTTTAATGTAACAGAGAGCAGTTTCCTGCTCCTCCGTCCTACTGGCTCATAGTGGAATTACAACTGTCGTAAACAACCCTGCTGCAGCCTGCTGTAACTAGTGCTAACAACGAGCTAATACGAACATGAGCCGACTAATACTAAAATAAACCACAAAGTAAAAAGATTCACACTGTTGGACACAAATATTATTACTTATAAGTCCAGTAGCAACAAATCCAGGTCGCCATCAGTTCGTGATTTTGTAGCATCCTTTAGTTCCCTCAAGTTAGTGTAGGCTGTGCCGATGTCTACTCCGGTTTTAGCTTTTTGCTTCGCCTCCGAGGACATTACTATCTTACTTTTACTTCCAGGCTCCATCTTGATGCTAACAATAAAGGAAACTTCTTTTGCTTTTTAATGACGATCAGCAAAATGAAAAAAACCCACTAGCAAAACAGCTAACAGCCGTAAAACAGATAAAGAGCACCCCCTAGAACACCTACCCGCTCTGCAAACTCTCAAGTGCGGTTTTTGGTCAGCAGAGGGCTGCAGCATGGTGTCAATTATAAAACCGGTCAAGTTTCTAACCCAGCAATCACTGAGATCAATGTTAAAGCTCTAGCTTAAAGTAAAAAAAAAAATAAAACATAAACTATCTACTGTTACTTTAAAGTTCAGGTATGACTGATAGAAGATGTCAGGTGATGTTAGCTACTTGAAAAAAAAATAGTTTCTTTGTTTTAATGACCAATATATTGTTATTGGTTTTAATCGTTTTATATTGATATATCTAATATCGATTATAAAGACATCCCTGATTTTAACCTAATTTATCATCTGTGCTTAGTGTGTTTAACTACAATCAATAGTTGCTGGTTTGCTACCATAAAGCATTAGTAACATCATACGTAGGACACTCAACAAAGCCGTTCTTTATGAATGCCAGTCAAGCTTAGCCTAATTTACCATTTCCATCTTCCCATTTCAGAGTGGATTGCATCTCTTTAATCAGAGTGAGTTGTCTGTGCCTCTGTGCTTGTAAGGGTGCATTGTTTTGCCTATCCATTGGTAATCCTTACATTTTACTTGCAGACAAAATGGCCGAATGCTATTTTTGTGAAGGACGAGGACAATCTTGAGGTAATGTCCAATTTTGCTTCACATGTAGACTTGTTATTTAAAGTCAAGAGGGGGATGTATTTTCAGTCTTATCCTCATTATCCGTGCCTTCATTCACCGTTTGATCTCCACACCAGCCAGTACACGCTGTAAATAACCGTGTGCTATGTATACCACCTTCAGACATGGCAGATCAGTGCAGGTCGAGGGGAATTTGGCACGGGCTAAACCTTTAGATTAGTATAGTTAGCACTTCTCTTGGATGATTCAGTCACACCAAACTATAAAATGGCTCTACCTTTAAAGAGGCTGTAAATAATGTTCACACTTTTCAAAATAATAGTGCTTAATTTAAAGTTTCTTAGATTTTAGGTCATGCGATATGTGGAACTTATTAGAAATAAATTGAGCTAAATAGGTTTAATTTAGAGTTAAATTAACATAAACTGACTAATCCTGATTACATCACAACGGAGTAAAAGTGATCTGTTTGAGAGGATCTTCATAGACATGCCTTATTTTAGATGATATTTCTGTACTAAAGAAGCTTAGTGAAAAGTAGAAGAAACATGAATACAAAAATACAAAAAGAAGCCTCAGCTGGCTGTTGCGAGGGTGAAAACATGCACGCAAAAATGTATTTTTAGCCCCTTAAAATTTATTTCTTCTTCTTTGGCTATAAACATACATTTAGAGTTAAAAAATAATAATTTTTTGCAAATTTTCATTATGTATTACCTATTTTTCTTTCAGTGTGGGATGAGTGAGCGTCATGAAGATGAGTGATGATCCACCATCCTGTTAGGCGTCTCTGTTCACCCCATCTCACCTCCCATCCACTTCCTGTTCACCTGACTTTCTAATCCATCACCGTCACAACATGTCTTGCCACAAACAGAACTTCCAGTGCTTCAGCGCTGTAGGAGGACAAGGTTCCCACAAGTCCTGTCCCCCCTTCAAGCACCCCACAGCTAGACTACCCAGAATCCCCCACCACGGCATGGTGGCCCATCATGACCTTTTGGAGGAATGCTGTCTATGTTCCGAGTATCACCATGCCATGGAAGCAAGGGAGAACCACTTGTTGCCTTTCTATCATGCTCACCCACCGTACCACCATCACTGTCCACACCAGTATGTTCCCAGGGGGCCGAGCCGGCCTGAAGAGGGCCACTCACGCAGCGAACACCACCTTCATCACCGCAGATGTAAAAAGAGGGTGGTGCTGGTGAAAAACAGCGACCCTTCATGTAGGAAGGTCATTGTACTCCACCACAGGATCCTGCGCAGCTTTGCTCTTTTTTTGGAGGAAGTCTCTGAGCTCATGCAGTACCACATTAGGAAACTGTACACTCAGGAGGGTCGCAAGGTGAGAGGAAGCAGATTCTGTAGCTGAATGTTAAGTTTTCCTGTTTCCTTATTTTAAAATGTCTTTTATATGTTGGGTTGTTTATTATGTTTATTGTAATTCTAAAATCACATTAGCTTTTTTTTTTAACTAAAAAGCTAAACTAAAAGATCCCTTTGTAGGATTTTGAGGACAATGGCTCATTAAAAACAAATCTATGGTTTCTTAAAGACTTAATTTCACTAATTTTGTCAACACATTTGCAGGAGTGTCTGGTTTAAAAGACACCATGTGAGGTTATATGTGGGAAAAAAAGCTCTGGCACTCCTGATTCAGGAAGTAGAAGTTAGTCGGAGGAGAAAACGGAAGGATCAGGAGTCTTACTTGTAATTATTTCCTGATATTCAAACATCTTGTCTCTGATTGGCTAACAGCAACATGACTGTACCACTGGCAAAAAAAGCAACGTTGATGTTTTACGTCCACAAATAACTCAAGCCTGAAGGAGTCCTGCTTTGTTATGGAGCTGCTAATGCTAACGGTTAGCTTCTACTAGCCAAGATGTGCTCTGCTCTCTCCTGGACGTTAAACCAACTACAGCCTTCCCTGTCATGAGCCAAGATGGGTGAGTCCATGAATGCCGATATTCAGCGTGACGCAGATCTGAGTGGCTTCTTTAATCCCAGCGTTTCTCTGCCTATTTTCTATTGGCAGCTAATGCAGGTAATAGGGGTAGAAGACCATTTGCACATTTGGCCTGTATGCGAGAGTGACCAATCATATTTCCAAAATAACAGTTGAAAAACAGTTTCTCAGTGAACTTGGTCTTTAAAATTTTTTATTTGCAGATCCAGAACAGGTATGATTTAAAAATCATGTGACATTAATTTTATCATCAAACCCAAGAAAGCCTATTTTCCTCCACAAAATTAGAGAAAAAAATTGATGTTTTGTTGATAGATTTAGCATAACTAGAATAATAAACGGAGAAATGAAGGTAGAAGCTCGAACAGCACTGGTGACATTTCAAGAACAATTGCATTTGAAAAATATCATTTTCATCTAGTTTGCACTAAGTAGCTTATTATGATTCAAGTGGGATTTATGTATTTTTAGAGTGTATGAGGGAACAAAATGGGGATATTCCTTCACGTACACATTCAGACTGTGGAGATCTCTCCGAAACCCCATTAATCTTGGTCAAATCAGAGCTATTTTTGAGGAAAGAGAAACAGGTCAATGTTAAAACTCCCCTGCTTTGATACCGTAGGTGTTTCAGAAACGTGTCTTCTGCTGTGGCAATTAATTATCTTCACCTGGAGCTTTGTGTGACCATTCATCTGCCTTTTTTCTGACAGTGGATTTAACATGCAAAACTACACTGTCATCAAAACTGGCTGCACATGAGGGGAATATAAAAACCACTGTGTTTTTCAGCCTGCATTTTTATGACATTTTCTAACTTTCATTAGAGAAAAAATGTGTTAAATGTTAAAAGCAAACTGGGAAAAGAGTGGAAAGAGGTTATTCTTAAGATAGATATTCACATCATGACTGTAAATATATTTGTTGCTTTAATAAACTCGTATTGTTCTCATGTGTTTATACAGTAGTGAAGATAAATGGAGAAACACTTCATCGTGTCCTTGAATAACCTTTGACCTAAGAGGGATCTTGTTTTTAATAATTAATGAGCTGGTAGGGCATTTATTGTCACTCTGCAAACTTTCAAGAGGAAGTTCAACATTTAATACTTGTTTTTTTTTAAAAATACAGTCACTCTGAGTTTCACATGCAAAGTAGTCGTCTAACTCTATTTCCTGCATTAGCCGCTGATAGAAAATAGACGGGCAAATGCTCGGGTCAGAAAAAGCCAGTCCTGTCTACATCACGGGGATATATCAGCATTCATGGACTCACCCACCTTGGCTTGCGGCTGCTAAAAGGTTATTGATTTAACAACCAGGAGAGAGCAGAGCACGTCTCAGCTAGGAGAAGCTAACCATTAGCATTAGCAACTTCCAAACATGGCAGAACCCATCTTGTGTTATTTATGGAGATAAAACAACATAATTTAAATTTTTACTCAAGACGGAAGTGTGAATGAAGGCGGCGGAAGAGCTGAGATGATAAATTTACATATCATGAATATTAATGAGCAAGACTCATAAATCTGCTTTTCTCCGTACTCCACTCCTCCAGTTTATTTTGACTTCTTAAACATGAGCGCAGTAGTTTGTTTCCATAGAAAACAACTCATACTAAAGACCACAGAGGATTTATTGGAAAAACAGATGAGTCCACAACTGAATAACTTTTGAGGCCACTGTTAATCGTCGTTACCAACAATGGCTACAACTTAGTCCGTTTTACAAATATTGAGATTCATTTTTACGTTAGTAGCTTAGAACCTTCTCTGATTGTTAACCGATCACAAAATCTTGCAATATAGCATTTCAAGATTTCAACAAGCAGAGGTGTGACCAAGTCACTGCTTTGCAAGTCACAAGTAAGTCACAAGTCTTTCTAGTCAAGTCTCGAGTCAAATCCAAGTCGAGTCCAAATTTAATGATGTGAAAGTCCCAAGTCAAGTCCAAGTCCTTAACTTTGAATTTTCAAGTCATAACCAAGTCATCTGTCCAACTTCAATTTAATGACAATGATAATAAATAAATTACAGAAATAAAGCTTCTTAAAGCTTCATTTATTTGCTGAAACAAGCAGAAAGTGCAACTGAAACTGATTATAAACAAAGAGCTGCTGCAGTTAGCAGAACAAGATCACACCCAGAACGAAAAATGACTTATGATTTTTGTCCATGTCGTGCCACTTTTGTGCTAAAATATCAAATATGCTCAAGTCATCATCAGGTCAACAGATGCAAGTCGATTCAAGTCGCAAGTCATTGGCATTCAAGTCCGAGTCAAGTCATAAGTCTTTATAGATTTCATCGTCAAGTCAGAAGTCATTAAAATAATGACCCGAGTCTGACTCAAGTCCAAGTCACGTGTCTCAAATCCACACCTCTGGTTAAAAGCACTACCTTAAAAGATGGCGGGTGATGTGCAGGCCTTCAGTGAACAGTAGGTGTTTCATACCGTTAGGTTGACGGTTAAAATTCCCTGAAGAAACTTTAAATCTTTGTGTTTGCTTGTTTATATTTTGTTTCTTTGTAAGAATGGACAAACATGTTTTGTTTCTCTTCACCTTATCCGTTTGTAACATTTTGTAAAGACTTAAGTGTAGACGGAAATGAATGAATTCACAGATTAATGGTGTCTTTCTTCTTCTTTCAGATTGACAGTGTTCCGAGTCTTTTGCAGTGTCCGGGTGTTCTTGTTTGTGTCGGACGGGAGCCCACTCACCCTTCCATCATTGAGAACTTTGAGAAAAGATCAGATGACAAACTTCCAGGGATGAGTCCGAAGCCACACTCCACCAGATGTACTAATGGACATGAAAGTAAGGGAAACAGTTTGGTCACTTCTGACATAATATCCTGATCCAATATTTCATGACATCAGGACATCAAAAGCTCGGGTTTTCTTCGTCATTTTTGTATTTATTAGAAGTTAAATCTTAAAGACCAAGTTCACTCATTTTTTATCAACACATTTACTGTGGGCTCTGGTATGAATGCCATGTTAGTTGATCTTCTGTTTCAGGAAGAGCATAGTTGAGCTTCAGACGACAGGTTTTGGAGTAACTGAATATCTCGTCTCTGATTGGCTAACAACAATGCGACTCTTCTGCTGCTTCCATTTGCTCTTCAACGTTGATGTCTTATCTCCACAAATAACAGAAGCCTGAAGGAGATCTGCCGTGTGGTGTTGTTGCTAATGCTAATGTTTAACTTCTTCTAGCCGAGACGTTCTCTGCAGTTTCCTGGACACTAAATAAACAACAGCCTTCCTCGTCGTGAGCCAATATGGGTGAATCCATGAATGCTAATTTTCGGTGTGACATAGATCTGTGTGGCTTTTCTAATCCAAGCGTTTCCTCATCGATTTTCTATCAGCAGCTAATGCAGAAAATAAGGTTGAAGACTATTTTCACGTGTGTGATTGATCGTTTTTATAAAATAGCAAGTAAAAAACTGTTCATCGTTCTGTCTACCTGCATTCATTAATTGATTAAACTTACATCCTTGATTGTGTTTTTCTGTCTCCTTTTTATGGCTGGTTGATGAATCCAAGAAGATAAAACAAGCATCATCTCTTCAAATGTGGAATCTTACAGCAGGTCTACCCAGAAAGCAGCACCATCTGACACGTCTGGACCGGATGGAACTAACTCACCAGACCTCGGTGCTTCCTGCCCACCCACTGACAAAAGCGTAAAAGAGGATGACATAGAAAAACTGGTTCGTGTCAACAAAGATGGCAGCTTGACCATGGAGATGAAAGTTCGCTTCAGATTACAAAATGACCAAACGTTGCATTGGTCCACAAAAGTAAGAAAGACAAAGAGTGGGACTTGTGATTACACCCAAGGACATAATAATAGTGATTTTGCACAGGTTTGTGATGTAAGCTGTTCAGAATCAGAGAACATTTCTGCTGAGGATGCTTGTTTTCCTCAGCACCACCAAGGACACATAGAGGAGCCTCACTGTGCTCACTGCTGCAGTCACTGTCAGGATTATGACCTCTGGAAACCAGGGACACGCGGTACAAGTCGCTGCATTCAAAGCTCCAGCTCAAGTGCATCTTCTCTCACTGTGGTTTCTAGAAAAACTGTTGTAGAAAGGCAGACGGTGTCTAGATCGAGTGAAGATCTCACAGAGGAAATAGTGGAGAGAGAAACTTGTGTAACACAGAGCATCAAGGCAGCTGAAACTGTGGAGTTTTGCACTATGAGGAGTGAGAGTTGCTCACCAAATTCCAACATGCCATCACCTAAACTGAACAACGATGAGGCTGCTGGTATGTCCGGCTGTCAAGATGACGTTCTGAAAGTTAAATCTGATCAGGAACAAGAAGAATCTGTAGAAGATGAAGTAAAAAAGGATGGTTCGCTAACAGCTTCTAGAGCATCTTCTCAAGATAGTGACACAAAAACAAAAGTTGCACCAGGAAGTGAAATGTTGGATATTTCAAGCTCCACGGATAAAAGATCCACTGCTTCTGGACACACAAGGAAGCCAAAATTGTCAAAGCCCTCACTCACCTGTCACTGTGGAGTTTCTGCAGGTTGTCAGGATGAAACAAAAGTAAACATCATGACTCAAACTAAAGAGCAAGAGGAGCTACAAGAGCAAACTAGTGCCATCGCTGTGGGATCAAATGCATTTGAGGAAATGCAGAACACAGACCACAAAGAAGAGAGAAGAGGATCCAAAAGTGCCATGTCAGATCATCCAAATGCCTCAGCGAGATGCAACTCGGATGCTTTAGGAGTTGAATCTGAAGATGAAGAGGCAGGAAAGAGACCATCCAGCAGCACATCTGTGAAATCTGTAAAGTCTGATTCATTGCCTGACCATTGCAAGCCAGAAAGAGTTTCATCCAAAGCCTCTATCAAATCAAAAGAGTCAAGAGGATTGCGTACCACAGGTGAAGAACAAGCTGAGGAGGAGTTAGAGCAGAGGACGCCAAGCGTGATGTCGGTTGCATCAAATGTGTCGGCTGAGTTAAAACATCTTGAGGCAAATGAAGAGGAAACCACTCAGCTCTCAGCTGATGAAGCAGAGCCAAGAGCAAAAAGCACCAAATCAGAAAAGTCCGATGTTTCTGGGAGGTCGCGATCTTCTGAAGTAACAGCTGCTGAAAGTGACACCTCAAAGAATATAAGACCACAAAGCACCATGTCAGTCAAATCCACAAGATCTGTCCAGGCAAATGTCTCCCCAGAATCCAGCGAATTTAAAACAACAGATGTGTCAAATAAAGGAAGTCAAGACAATACGGAGGATGGAAACGATGGAGAGCAAAGTGAGGAAGAAACAGGCGAGATACCAGAGACCTCTGAAGTCAGATCATCTAGTGGCGTGTCCATCAAATCAGACCAAAGAGCAGAAAGTGTCATATCAGTCAAATCAAACACCTCAGCAGTGTCTACTAAGTCCAAAGCTTGTGAAGACGGTGATGAGCAACAGGAAACTGCCGGTAGAGCCAGTTGCATGTCAGATAAATCTATCAGGTCCGTGAGTTCGGTAAGATCGAGTCAGTCGAACTGCTGTGACAAGTCAGAGAGAGAAAACTGTACAGAGACCTGTTCAGCTCCCAAATCAGAAACCGGGAGGAGATCAGCGAGCTCACTGTCAGACAAATCAAACAGAACAGAATGCTCTGCTCAAGAGCCAGATGTTGGAGAAAATCAGGAGTTAAAATCTGAAAAGAGAGCAACAAGCAGCGCATCAGTCAAGTCACATTCAGAGAGTAAGTCAGCAAAATCACATAATTCCACTAAATCCAACAAGTCAAAGGTTTCTTCAAACAAACGTCCAGACGAGGAAGAGAGAGCTTCGAGTGCACTGTCTGCAAAAACCGACATGTCCGCTTATTCTGCGAAATCTTCTAAGTCAAAATGTTCTGATGTTACTTTTCAAGAGAAAAGCTCGAAGAGCCCCGATGAAAGAAGTCAGACGGAGAACCTGGAGGGAAGGTTACCAAGCAGCATGTCTGCTAAAACAGTCCAGTCACGTGTTTCTGAGGGATCCACAAATTCTGCAGAAAGACCACAGAGCGTTTCTTCAACCAAAACCGAAAAGTCGTTCATTTCGATCAAATCCGTCAAATCAAATGTTTCTGGAGCTGCAGCTGGATTTCCTGATGAAGAGGACAGTGCAGGTGAATCTCGAGAGAGATCCCAAAGTGCACAGTCGGCCAAAAACATTCAGTCTGTTGCAACTGCCAAATCTGCAAAGTCAATCAAACATCCAGGAGATGAAAGCATGTCTAATCGTGAGGCGAGAGCTTCAAGTAAAATGTCAGCCAAGTCAGGAAAATCAACTAAATCAAATGTATCAGCAGCATCTAAAAAACCAGCGGGTGTTGGAGTTTGTTCGGAGGAGGAAGGAGACAATGGAGACAGAAATCTGAGACCAATTTCATCTCAGTCACTTGATTCAAATATTTCTACTAGAACAAATCAAACAAATTGTTCAGATGATGATTCAGTGGAAGAAGTCACAGAGGATGAGAGAGAGCATGTGGAGGAAAGACCACCCAGCAGCATCTCCGTTAAGTCGTCCATTTCAGAAATGTCTATAAAATCTGTAGAGAGAATGCCGAGTGCTTTGTCAACTAAATCAGTCATATCTAATATTTCTGAAGTTCAGTCGAGCAGTAATGTAGAGGAAAGGCATGAGCGACCACAGAGCGCACTTTCAAACAAAACTGCAAAATCCACCATTTCTACTGAATCGAGAGGAATGGTTGATCCAGCACAGGAAAATGGTTTTGATGATGAGGGACATGTGGAAAGAGCACCAGAGGACAGGGGAGAAAAGTCCATGTCTCCTCAATCAGTTGAGTCAAACGTGTCTGCAAAATCCACTAAATCTAGATGTTCCACCAATGTTTTTGTAAAAGAACGCTCAAACGTCTCTCATGAAGACAAAGAGACAAATGCAGGGAGAGGACCGAGCAGCATGTCAACCAGATCGGTCGAGTCAAGCGTGTCGGAAACCTCTGCAAAGAGAATATCTGGTGCTTTGTCAGTTAAATCAGTCAAATCAGATGTTTCTGAGCTTCAGTCTAAAGCTACTGATGAAGGAGATGGTACAGATGAAACAATCCAAAGTGCACTTTCAGCTAAAATGGTCCAATCTACAACGTCTATGGGGTTAAAAGAGCATGACGGCCCGGCAATGGAAAGCATCTGTGGAGGCGAGGAACGAGAAGACCGAAGTCCAAGCATTATGTCTGCCAAATCTGCAAGATCTGCAAAGTCGAGTGTTTCTACGTTTTCTCAGAATTCAGAAGTTTCTGTTGCTTCTTGCAAGCCCACAGGTGAAAATGTTAATGAAGAAGAACCCCAAGACGAAGGAGACATTGAAACCCAATCGATGAGCTCCATGTCTATCCATTCCATGAGATCAACTAGGTCCAAGTGTTCAGTCGAGGCTCCAGTTGATGAAAACATTGACAGACCCAAGTCACACGCATCAGCTGGAGCTCATTCAGATACTAACCCTCTGGAAGGGAGAACTGATGACAGAGGTCCTCAGGACAGACCGGAGAGTGCGCTTTCTGCTAAATCGAATGGATCAAAAGTTCCGGTAGCTCAAACAGAAGAAAGCGCGTATGATTCTGATCTTCAGGAAAGATCTGCAAGCACTCAGACGATCAAGTCCAGCATTTCAGCCAGATCAAAAAAGTCCAAATGCTCTGATGCTGCCCAAATCTCAGACCGTTCCAGAGAAAATTCCAACCAAGAACAAACCGAAGGAAGAGCTGCAAGTTGTGCATCAGTCAAAACAAGTTTGTCTAACGTGTCTGAAAGATCCTGCAAGTCTCAAGTTTCTGGTACTGTAATCAAAGACGTGGATGAACAAAGCACAGAGAGAGCCCCTAGCACTTTTTCTGCTAAATCGACAAGATCAGTGTCAGGCAAATCGTCTCGCTCAGCTAAATCTGTGAAATCAGAAGTGTCAAAGGTCAGTGATGTTCCTACTGAAGAAGCAAGAGCAGCGAGTACTGTGTCTGCAAAGTCAAATGTCTCAGCACAGTCACAGGCATCAACACGTACTATTTCATGTGAAGAAAGTGCAAAAGAAGAAAGCTACGTTTGTTTGTCAGATTGCTCTGCAAACAAGTCAGCAGAGCAAGTCTCAAGGTCAAAGTCAGCAACGTCCAACAGTTCCAGAAAATCTGAAAACATTACTCAGGGTTTCGCTGAAGAACACACTGAGGAGTGTTCAGATGCATTTAATGCTTCACGCGAAGATCAACGTAAGAATGTGAACCGCACATCAAGTCGTTCCTCCAGCAAATCTACAAAACCTGAGCATTCAAATGCCACAGGAGGCTCAAAAAGATCCGGAAACTTGGAGGTTTCTCGTGAAATAAAAGCCAATGTGACGGGTGAAAACTCAGACGGTGATGCTGGGATAGGAACTTTAAGCCCAGTGTCTGTGAGGTCGGTGAAGACAAATGTTACATCCATTTCTAGAAAGTCAAAAGCTTCAAACCGTTCTAGCAGATCAGGAAATTCAAAAGTTTCTGAACAGACAGTCAGAGAGGAAGATCAAACACAAAGGACTGAGAGTGTGTTGTCAGTTAGGTCAAACACTCCCTCTAGCACCAACAGGTCTGGATGTGCACTTAGAGAGAAACTCAAAAACGAAGAAGATACCAGTTCACTTTGTGCCGTGTCGACCAAATCATCAAATGATGGAAAAACTGAAGAAGCATCTGAGAGAAGACAAAAAATTATGTCGATTAAATCAGACGTGTCTGTGAAGTCCAAAAAAGAAGAAACAACGCTTAACCCTGTTTCAATCCAGTCGGATCTGTCTGACGCAGTCAGCAGATCAGAGGTGCCCGCTGTGACCGTAGAGGAAAGTGGTGACAGGTCACCTGCAACCATGTCGTCCAAGTCCAAAGTTTCAGGACATTCAAAAAGGTCAAAAACATCTGAGATGCAAATGAAAAAAGGTGATGCAAAGTCTCAAAGTTCTTTAAGTGTGCACTCACATCTGTCTGTTAAATCCAAGAAATCCAGAGGCACCGAAGTCTCTTCTAAAAATGCCAGTGAGGTTGTGGGTACTTCTGGTAAGAGTACGGCCCGTTTGTGGGACAAACAAGATTCAACTGATAAAGGAAGCTGTAAGACAGAAAGTCGAGGGACAGAGGAAACAGATGCTGAGGTTACCGTTGCAAATTTCACAACTTCTCAAAGTGCAACACGACCAGTCGTCTCTCGTGCAGAGTCAAGTGAGAGTGACTTGTCACAAACTCTGTCCAGTTCAGACATTATCAAAGAAATCTGTGAGAGTTCTGCGCCTGAGGAGAATAAACTGAATACGTCAAAAAGGAAAGTAAATGAAACCGCAGACAGTTGTGGGAGGGTCACGGATAAAAGCCACAAAAGCAGCAAGTCTGAGGAAAAGAACAAGGAAGCAGATGACTTTGATCTGGTCCCATCCACCCTACCCAACGCATCCCCTACTGAGGTGGTGAACGAATGGCTGAAAACATTACCAGAGGAGCAAGATATCTATGAAATTGATGAACTTCATGAAACCTGTGATGACTTAAAAAGTAGTTCTGAAGCAGAAGAAGGCAACAGAGCTGAGGGTAACAACAAGGTTGGCCAGGAAGGTGAAGATTCAGAAAGAAAAGATGAGGAAAATGGGAATGATGTCCATAGCAACGGTTGTCAAGCAACAACTGAGGAAACAAATGAAGACAACTCTTCTTCTCAACGAGAAGATGACTCTAAGATGATCAACTCTTCCATACAAGTTATGAAAGTACTTTTAAATCCTAAACTTGACAGATGCAGCAGTTTACCAGAAGTCTCTCAGGTATATGGACGAAAGCTGAGCTCCTCAGCTAAATGTCTTCTGGACTGCCTTGTGAAGTTGCAGTTAATCGACCATGAACCTAAAAATGTAAATGAGAAGGATAAAAGATACCAAGACCTAATGAGGATCCTTCAGTCTCTTTGGCTTTCTGATCCTCCAGCGAATGAACAAGTGCTAACTACGACTGATCACCATTCTGTTGATGAAGAGTACAATCACACATCATCGTCTGGCGTGGACGTCAACAGTGGCTCCACGGGATCTGGGAAGAGCAGTGATGGCGTAAAAGGTAATGACGATGCAACCGCTAAGCAAGCCGAAAAGGACACAGAGGTCCCATGGCGACTGGAGGGAGAAGAAAAGCAAGAGGATGATGATCCAAAAACAGATGAAACATTTAGAAGCAATGATAGCCCCAAAGAACCACCTGAAACGCCCTCATCCACAATCAAGAGTTCAGGAGACTCCAGCAGTACCGGCAAAAAATGTACAGAAGATGCTGAAACGGAAAGTCAAGAGGACACCAGAGGTCAATATCCCACCTTTAGCCAAGAAACGCAGCTAGCCAAAAAGCAGTGTCATGATCCTGATCCCGTTTGGGTGCTGACCTTACTAACAAAAATAGAAAAGCAGTTCATGGCTCACTACAGCAGCGCAATGGAGGAGTTTAAAGTTCGGTGGAATTTGGAAGATAGTGATCAGCTGGACATGATGATAAATGAGCTGAAAACCGAGTTTCACCAGAAACTCCAAACAAGCATCGACAGAGAAGTCAGGAAAATTCAAAACCAAGTGGGATTACCAAGACCCCCCAAAGAAACAAGGACCCGATCGTCAATGATGCAAACGGAAGAGAGAAGACGGAGGCTAAAGATCAGGGTCCAACCATCAGCGGACTCACAAGTAGAAAAAAGTGATGATTCAGCAACAGATACGTCTTACAGTGACCAGCGCAGTGAAAACATCGATGAACACTGTCCCTGTGAAACATGCTTAAAGAAGAAAACGTCCTCCATGCCCGGTCCCTCAGCACAAATGGAAAGCATCACACCTGCTGTCATGGATTATGACCTGAAAAGGATTCTTCTCATGAAGAGCAAAGTTTCAGCTGATGCCAAACCATGTCAAAGTGAAAACAAAGATACGGAAGCACTTCTTGTGGTGGAAGAAGTAGAAGATGACAAAACAGACAGAAGCACTGAAGAATCCTTGGCGACGGCAGCAGATTATGCTGACCACGATGTGGTTGAGCTGGATGAACAGGAACCCACGGAGCAGACAAAAGAAAGTGGAGAAGCTGATGAAAAGATTTCAGAAGAAGACACTGACAGTTCAGTCACATCAGGTGGACAATTCAAAACAGAAACCAATGAAGATCAGGAACTGGAAGACCAGTCCGAAGGTACGACAGAAAAAGAGTTTGAGAATGAAAACGAGCCCGACAAATCGGGACAAGTTGGAACGACAAGAAAAACATCAGGTGATGAATTGCTTAAAGAACCCAGTATGGCTCTGAGCAATGAAGAATCAAAAGAGGAAGCTGTTAGTAAAGAAGAGAAGACCCACTGGTCCACAGTAAAAAAGAAGGAGCTGTCGTCAGTATGGATGATTTCAAAGATGAAAAGATCAGTGATGCAATCAGAAACCAATGGCACCGCCATTGTTAATGAAACGGAAAACAAGGCACGAGAAGAAGCAGAAACCAAATCTGCAGATCTGAATGAAGACGAGTCCGACGAAGAGAAAGCTGAAGATGCCGTGTTGGAAAGGGATGTAGCAGCAGACACTGACGACAACAAAGCCGATGAAACAGCAGAAAGTGAAGAAGCAGCAGCAGAAACGTCCTCACTCGTAACAAGTGATGCATCAGAAGAAGACGAGGCTGATCAAACATCTCTAAGTGGCCGGGAATCTGATGCTGATGCTGTGGAGGAGAACGATAAAGTCAGTGAAGATGACGCTGCAGAAGATTTAGAGACCACCTCCAATCAAGGAGAGACTACGAATGAGAAGGGTGACACCAGTCACGAACTTTCAACGGAACTACCTGGAGAAGAGAATGAAGATGAGCCTGTTGCTGGGATGGAGATTGAAGATCTGAGTACAAATCACAGCAACACCGTCGCAGCAGAAGGTGGAAACATGGAAGAAAGCACTTTAGCAGCCACAGAGAAGGTCTCTCCTATTAGTGGAGATGAATCCTCAGATGAAGACAATGATTCAGCAATTGACTCATCAAGAGAACAAGGTGCAGTGAAAACAAGTAAAGTCTCAGGGGAAGATAAATCAGAGGATGATGCCACCAACACTGAAGGTCCTGATGTGGCTACCAGCACTGATCATGAACCTGATGATGAGGATGTTGAAGAAGGAGAAAATGTTAATCCAGGAGAGGAAACTGGAGTTCAAAGTGAAACGGATGCTGCTGAAAATCCTGCAAGCTCTTTAGAAGATGAGACAACCGATGCATCAGAGACCTCTGTAGGAGCTACAAGTGAACGTTATTCTGAAAATGATGCCACAGATGAAGAGAAGCTCCCTGCCATCAGTGCAGATGAGTCTTCAGATGAAAAGAATGATTCAGTCATGGCTGATGAATCATCAAAACAACCAGAAGAAGATTCAACAGCTAGAAATGCTGTGACCGAAGGGGATGAACCTCAGGATGAAGCTCTGGATCAAATTCAGAAAGAAGACACTGAAAAAATGATGGTGGATGATGGAAATGAACTCAGGAGTGTCTCTGAAGAGGATTCCGGAGGCGAGGAGGATGAAACTGCTGAAGAGAATGATGTTCTGAGTAGTGAACTGTCAACTCAGCATGATGACAAAGACACCAAAGAAGGAGAAACCAGAGCTGAGGAGGAGCATGCAGAAGAAAACAGTTTGACAACCAAAAGTGAAGAGGAGTCTGAAGAAGACGAAGCTGGAGATGATGAAGAAGAGGAAGATGACCTTGAAGATGAACCTATTTCTGAAAAACATAAGCCTAATCTGGCAGTTATAAATGAAAAAGAAGAAGAGACTGATGGAGATACAACTGAACGTGAGTCTGACTCAGGAGACGAGACCGCCGAAGAACGTTGTGTCAAAACCACTGAAGCTAAGGAGACTACTGATGACAGAGAGGGAGGTTCTGGAGGAGGTACGGATGCTCTCTCAGGTGAAGAAACTTCAACTGCAGACTCGAAACAGGAGACCGAGAAAGTCTCGAATGAAAGTGAGGAGGAACAGGATGAAACAACATCTGGAGAAGAAAAAGAAACCGAATCTGTGAGCGAAGAAAACGCCAAAGCCATGAGGGACAAGACGTCAGAAGACGTGAGTGAAAACTCTTCATCGGATGGGGAGCAATCTGTGGAAAAGTTAAGAGCACGGCAAAGCACGGGACAAGAAGATACATCAAATGTGAAAAATGAAGATTCTGGAGACCAATCTGAATGTGAGACGGTAGATGAGACAGGCCAGGAAGCTACGGAAGACCAAGAGACTGGAAGTGAAGCAGAAGATGGAGTTAGATCAGCTGAGGAGCTTGATGAGAAAGAATGTTCAGAACAAAACGATGAGGAAAGCGACACATCGAACAATGATGGATCAGTAGAGAGCAAAACTCCTGGAGATGAATCAGATGAAGACGAAGGTGGAAGGGAGTCTGAATCCAAATGTGATGCAGACATTGTGACAAGTCAAAATGAGACGGAAGCCCGGGAAATTGCCGAGGAAGAGTCTAGTGAACTTGATGTGGAAGGCAGTGAGATTCCAATAAGTGATGTTGGAGAAAAAATCCCAGAGCAGGTTGGAACAGGTGGGGAGGAGTTCACGGACGGTGCAGAAGATGAAGCTGTACAAGATGAGGAGCATCAGCTTAGGGGAGATCAGGATGCAGATACCGTGAGTAAACCCGAGTCTGTTTCTGATACAGTCAAACACATAGGAGAAGAAGACTCGACTGATGTTCATCAGGAAAACAGCAGAAGCTGTGAGACTGACCAAGAAAAAGCTAAAGACTCTGAAAAAGAAGACGAGGAAACAAAGAAGCCCGACGAAGACTGGAATGGAAACCAGGGAGAGTCGGCTGATGGAGAAGATGAAGCCGAGGAAGACTCGGATGAACCTGAGGATGAATCTGATGACTGTTGTCAGCCTTTCACTATAAACACAGCAGGCAGTTGTGATGCGTTTCAGAAAGCAGCCAAACAAACAACGCTAATGCCTCTAGAGCCGTTGGAAAAAGAGAGTGTTGAATCAGAGGACGGCGCTTACGCCGACGTGGAAGATTCTGAGACCGAGATAAACAGCCAAGAGGACGCTCTAAGCCGCGAGTCGAAGAGTTTGAACGAGAGTTGACTTTGGAAACATCTAAGGACTTTGTTACAAAACCCAAATGTGGCTCTGCCGAGTTGATGCTGCAGGTCGAGGTAAATCTGAACTCTAAGCACAGTAACAATTAGTTTATAATAAACAAGAACCAAACTATTTACCTGCACTTTGTTAAGCTTAAACCACACAGCTGCTCATGCACTCGTATGACGATACAAAATCTGAAATACTTGAATGTACTATGTACTTGATGTAGAAATGTAGCGATACTTCCGCGTTGCACAATTAGCGTGATTACGGCTGTGATAAACTCCGTATGTAGAACAGATTTAACTCACGGCTGTTATAATAAACACTTACATGCACAGAAACTACACTGTAAAAAATAAAATGTTGAATTTACTTAACCAAGTTACCTCGTTGCTTAGGTGTAAAGAGTACCATACATTTAATTTTAACTAGGGGTGGGAATTTAACATGTTGATTACGATAAATTAATTAGAAAAATAAAGTGTTAAAAATGTTCCTCTTCGAGCCCGAGCGTCCCCCAATTGGGAGCCGGAAAGTTTTGCATCACAATTCATACAGTTTAAAGTTGCAGTGTGTAGTTTCCAGCCACTAGAGGGCAGTACATAGACGCATTTTAGGGGAGTTTTACACCACATCTTCCTGACTGTTGCTAGTTTAAAAAACATTACAATAAATATTACCTGTGGAGCAGAAAGAATGCAACCTTGGTGTGACTCCTCAGACTTTGATGGTTCTTCAGGTAATTCTATAAGAGAATGCAATCCAATTGTTGTTTTCAGGTGCTGTACTTTCCGGAACTGCTTGGGGCTTGCGCCTGCCGATGACATCATCATACTATGACAATACCATTCAGCCAAATTATATTGCATCTCTTTTTCAAATCCGTTCTTTTATGTATGTTTAGGAAAAAGTTTTGCAATTTTGTTATTAAATTCCTGTGTCTTACTACCAAAATGTTTTTGAACGAGGTAACGTTACTTCCAAAAGTTGTATTTTCAGCCAATGATCTGTTGTGATGTCATCAACAGGCGCAGGACCCCAAGCTGGTCAGAAGGAAGCATGGCGCCCCCCAAAGATGCTAGACCCGCACCATATTTACTTTAGACCTGATTTGTTTGGTTAAATGGTAAGAAGCCGCCAATGTTTTTTAACAACTGGCCATCGCTTTATTTATTTCCAACAACGTTTTGATGAATATTTTCAGTGACTAAAGTTAAAAACTATTGATTGTCTCTTTAATAAATGCCGTCAAGCTGCACCTCTGACAAGCATAGTGGCAGCATTCATCCTGTAACTCTCAGCAGAACTTCTCCTTGAACTCTACACTACACCTCTATATATATTAGCAGTGCTCTGCTGCCACCTAGTGTTCAGTTCAGTTCCCAACATTTACAATGTTCCATGTTTGTTTACACTTCATCAATAACACATACACTAATATTTACACTTCCCAACAAATCCCACAATGGTTACCTTTATAACAAGACCAACGTAAACAAATAGATCTTGTAATTACAGAAATACACTCATTTAACTGTGGGTGGGCCATTTGTGCCTCACTGATGTAATTTTTAATTTGAAAAAAAAAATTTGCTTGAGCGCAAATAGTTTTGAATAATAAAAATTTGATTAATCAAGATTAATTAATTACAAAACCTCTAATTAATTAGATTAATTTTTAATCAGTCCCACCCCTAGTTTTAACATGGCTATGCATATTACTAACTATATTAAGTGGAACCAACTGGCATAACTTGGTTAAGTAAATTTAACATTTTATTTCTTGAACCATTGTTGCTGCTCATTTTAAGTAGGAACATATATATATTTTATTTAATACAGAATGTTTTGACCTTATATCAGTATTAAATTAAAAAGAAGCTTGATTTTTGGAAGTTTATGACACAGTTGTGTAGTAAATAGAAGAAAAAACTAAGTTGGATGATAAAAATGTTGTCTTTTCAGATCCTTCAGATAACCAAATAATAGCAGACAGCTTTTCGTGACACGAAAAACCCCATAATGTTCTGTTTTAGCTGGTTCAGCTGTTTCTTTTGGGATGTTATCATCTGTAATCCAAACTTGCTTTTACTGAATGTCATTCTCATATTGTCTCTACAAATAAAGTTTAATAAAGCCACATTTGTCATTAATTCATTATTCCCCACCTAAAATTGTTAAATCATTAAAAGTGTTAGCACTCCATATTGAACACAATCTGAGATGTCGCTTTATGATCAACGCTAAAAATACCATAAAAAATAAACGTTTGTCTGCTCACTTGAGCAATTTTTTGATCAAATTTCCAAACTATATCCCAGCTGTTTTACTTAGGGAGGTACAGAAGGGCGAGTCGGAGGACATCAGACTTTCCTTAGAGGGTTCCTTCTTTGTCTTTTTATGGTGAGCGCCAGACAGAGTTGATGTATGTGCCTCTCAGAGTTTCCCTTTCCAGTCTCCTGTGCTCATGTGACACAGGTAATTGGTGTCACAGTGACTGACTGTGTAACTCAAGTAAAACCCAGTGCCTCTCTGTGCGTGGGCTGCATGGAAGCAACAGGACCCCTGCAGGGACCGCTGGCTTGAATCTTTTAAAATTGTTTTATTTAATTCTAAGATGCAAATTAAACAATAACATTAAAACATCTTCACTTTGAGCAAATTTAGGCTTTTTTTTATCTGTTTACCTTCAGCTTCATGTCAAGTATTTTTTTGTTAATTATGTTTAAAACATTTTTTCAAGACAAACACAAAATTTGTAGTTGGGTTTTTATTTTTTTCTGCCCCCTAGTGGCCAAATGTGTAAACTCTGCTTCCTCTTACCCAATGTTTACCAAATCCCTTCCCATACAGTGGTGTCTCCAGGAGCATTTCACAAAGGGGGCCAGTGAAAACTTTGTGGTGGCCCACCTAACTGGTCCCTGTGGTAACTCTGGCAGAGTTTAGCCAGTGGCTGTGAATAATTTTTCATTAAAAACCAACACATTTACCTTAGATTGAGAAACACAAACATTTCAGAAAATCTTACACAGAATTTTCAGTTATTGTTTAAACTTTTATTGCGTTAAATTTTAAAAAATGTTTAATTTGCCCATTCGCGATTTATAAATAAAATGGTCACAAGTTGTTTTTTTATGTGTGTATATATACATCAGAGGTGTGGACTCAAGTCACATGACTTGGACTCAAGTCAGACTTGAGTCATTATTTTAATGACATGTCCATTAGTACATCTGGTGGAGTGTGGCTTCGGACTCATCCCTGGAAGTTTGTCATCTGATCTTTTCTCAAAGTTCTCAATGATGGAAGGGTGAGTGGGCTCCCGTCCGACACAAACAAGAACACCCGGACACTGCAAAAGACTCGGAACACTGTCAATCTGAAAGGAGAAGAAAGACACCATTAATCTGTGAATTCATTCATTTCAATCTACACTTAATTCTTTACAAAATGTTACAAACGGATAAGGTGAAGAGAAACAAAACATGTTTGTCCATTCTTACAAAGAAGCAAAATATAAACAAGCAAACACAAAGATTTAAAGTTTCTTCAGGGAATTTTAACCGTCAACCTAACGGTATGAAACACCTACCGTTCACGGAAGGTCTGCACATCATCCGCCATCTTTTAAGGTAGTGCTTTTAACCAGAGGTGTGGATTCGAGACATGTGACTTGGACTTGAGTCAGACTCGAGTCATTATTTTAATGACTTCTGACTTGACGATAAAATCTATAAAGACTTATGACTTGACTCGGACTTGAATGCCAATGACTTACGACTTCCCAAACGACATGTTCATTGCATACAAACACAAAAACACATTGCCAAATTGGTCTTTTTCTTGAGACGTTTACCAAGGATAGATAAATTTTAATAAAATGACAAACAGCAAAACTGCAGCAGGTTTGAACTTCTAAACTGTCCAAGTTAACATGAATAAACACTAGGGAGTCTCTGATAGCATAGAGAGAGTTTATTAAAAGAGAGATAAATGTGACAAGCTATAATAAAAACATTTCAAGTAATTATCTGCAAACTAACACATTATTTTATTATTGAGTTTCTGCCAAAATCTTAAATGCTGGTAGAAGGTTTGATTAGATCAATTTAATCCTCAAATCTTTTGGAAAAGCAGCGCATTTTTTGAGGAAGCACCTGCTTGCTGGCTGTTGGCGGTAATTTCCACAGTAAACACTGGAAGAGTCAGGAACGTCATCCGGAGCACAATAATAAGGGGCTTCCCCCCCCCGACCATGTTTACCTCAGAGCAAACTGGCCTCTCAAGCAGCTGCAGAGACTCCCTTCCAGCAGCAGAGCGACAGGTCCCAACAACCCACACGGGATCTTTTTACATGAGAAACACTACTTTGGTCATATTTTTATATCTGAGCAGGGCAAATCCTCGATTTTTGGTTGAATGTATGGCATGGTTGCAACACTTGTGATGACAATCTTGCAAAGCAGAATGGAGTGTTTGTAGGAACAGCTGTAGTGTGGGGTTGTTGTATAGAGGTGGGGGGAGGAGGAGCTCAATTGTTTTTTTACTTGATGAGAATAACTTTGTCTTTCATGGCAAGTAGAGAAACAAGACCTTCTCCCTATTCATGTGTGACAGACGACAGAAATGGTTCCCACACACAGGCAGGAAGTCAAAAAGGGGCCTCTTGTAATGTGTGTGTGTGTGTGTGTGGGGGGGGGGGGGGGGATCAAAATTAAGGGCTGTGTGTGTTTGCATGTGTGTGTGTGTAATCAAAGGTGTAATAAAACTTTAAGATGACCTTTGACTTCACATCTCCCCTTTAAAATTCCCAGTCCCACAGTCCTGCTTTACAACACGAGCGTGCAGACAAACATTTTCTAGTGCCCGCTCGCTGTAATAATGGGAACTGAACGCAGCAGTTGGCAGCGTGTTCGCGCTTGGCACCGAGGTGGTCAGAACTGCATTACCAGAGGAGACCCACGCTCCCTTTCTTTCTCACTGTTGTTCAGGTTATCCTGTGGGGCCACTTACGACCCTTCTGCAGGCAGGATGCAACGTCTGGGGACCCCAGCAGGGCCGCACACAAGCATCCGCCGAGCCCTGGGAAGAAAACAAGGGCTGATGGAAAAACTAGAAATAAAGGAGTATGAGGAGAAACAAAAGTTAGTAGCCAGGACGCACTCAATAACACTCATGCACCTGCAGCCTGTGTGTGTGTGTGTGTGTGTGTGTGTGTGTGTGTGTGAGAGAGAGAGAGAGAGAGAGAGAGAGAGAGAGAGAGAGAGAGAGAGAGAGAGAGAGAGAGTGTGTGTGTGTGTGTGTGTGTGTGTGTGTGTGTTTGAGTGTGGCTGTTCCGTCGGAGAACTACAGCGCAGCACACAGCACAGGTGGTCCAAACAAAAACCTGTGAAGTGTTGCCCGGAGAGCAATATCCCTACACTCCGTGTTGTATAAAGACCCCCCCAATAGGAAACAAACACTTCCAGTGCTGCAAGATTTATTCATCCCTGCACATACAGGTCAGAGGATGCTGTGAATGATAGCTTCCTTTTGAGGCTGACTATTAATGAAATTCCACAGTGTACTGGCAATGGTGAGCAGAGATTAAAGGGTCATTATTACCTACAGGTGACTCGAGGACATGTGGTGTGTTTAGGTTCTCATCTGATAAGAAGCAGACAGGTGAATTCCCTTCACAGGGTTTTGTGTGGTGAGAAAAGGAAAGGCCTGGTTAAAGGTGTGTGGTGGTGTGAAAAACCACATCACTGATTGATGGCTTGACCACACAACAGTTTACAATCAAATAAGGCTGCATCTGCATTCACATACAAACAGAAAACAATAAAAGTCCCAAATGATTAAAGGTCATAAAATCATCTTGATTTAAGGAATTAGAATAAAATGTGTTTAATGGGATGAAGGGTGAATGAAATTTGAAATAAAGAAGTTGAAACAGACCGGGACAAATGAGAAATGAGGTTTAAAACGTGAGAGTTTGTGCCATCTAGTGGCCAAACTGAAGAACTTCAACCAACAACTAAAATGTTTGTGTAAATAAATGTTTTTTCTATCAAATTCTACATTTATGTTACAGTGATAGTAAAAAAATACATTCTTTATAAATATAACACTTAGCAGGACACAGATAAATAAAAACAACAATTCACAGTTTATGTAGACAGTGATGCTAAAAGCAGCCAGGACTTATGCTTACTTAGGTCATTTTAAATTCTCAGTCAGAATGTTTCTATAAGTGTTTTTAAATTGACCTTCAGGCATTCAAAAAAAGCTCCTTAATGCAAATTACTAATCGGCCAATCACGTGGTGGCAGCTCAATGCATTTCTGTCAAGACAACCTGCTGCAGTTCAATCCAAGCTTCAGAATGGGGATGAAAGGTGGGTTAAGAGACTTTGAATGTGGCATGGTTGTTGGTGCCACATGGGCCGGTCTGAGTATTTCACAATCTGCTCAGTTACTGGGATTTTCACCCACAACCATTTCTAGGGTTTACAAATAATGGTGTGAAAAGGGAAAAACATCCAGTATGCAGCAGTCCTGTGAGCGAAAATGCCTTGTTGATGCTAGAGGTCAGAGGAGAATGGGCCGACTGATTCAAGCTGATAGAAGATCAACTTTGACTGAAATAACCACTAGTTACAACCGAGGAATGCGTGAAGACACACGCAACCTTGAGGTGGATGGGCTACAACAGCAGAAGACCCCACCGGGTACCACTCGTCTCCACTACAAACAGGAAAAAGAAGCTACAATTTGCACCAGCTCACCAACACTGGACAGTTGAAGACTGGAAAAATGTTTCCTGGCCTGATGAGTCGATTTCTGTTGAGACATTCAGATCGCAGAGTCATTATTTGGCGTAAACAGATTGAGAACATGGATCCATCATGCCTAAAGAATGCTTTCAGCACCTTATTGAATCAATGCCACGTAGAATTAGGGCAGTTCTGAAAGGGGGTCAAACACCGTATTAGTATGGTGTTCCTAATAATCCTTTAGGTGAGTGTATATACAGGCAAAAATCTGGTGATACAATATGTGGCTCAGTCAATGACTGAGATACATGACACAATGTACAAAAAGATGGACAAACCCCACCCATAGCTTTCTGTGGGGCTTATCTGAAGACAGAGTGGTTCCCACCACCCGTCAAACTCTGAACCAATGTAGCTACGAACCAACCCAAAGCTAGCACGAAGCTAGGAAACCAACAAGTGTAGCCAGTGGAAGCCAAAAGAGGTTTTCGAGCTCTTTCAGCAAGAAAAACGTGGTTAAGCCACTCAAAGGTGAAGCACCCATCAACTCAAAAAGCTGCAGTGTCTCTTTCCTGCTGAAAAAAAACTGTTTAAACCAGCAAATTGCACTTTATACAAATAAAGCAAGACATTCAAAAATTCTACTTGCATGGTTTTCAGTCTATTCAAAATTAGCTGATTTCAGAAGCATAAATGTCAGCATGTATATTAGTAATATAACATAATATAATATAATTCAAATTAAATTCAATTCAATTCAAAAATACTTTATTAATCCCAGAGGGAAATTGATGAATAATATAATATAATATAATATAATATAATATAATATAATATAATATAATATAATATAATATAATATAATATAATATAATATACAACGGTCAACATAATAAGCAGGTTTGCACTGAGGTTTTTTTGATCATCAAATATCATCTACAAGCTGAGGTCAACAAGCTAACTGTTTAAGAGTGTCCGTTTACTAGAACCAAAAGTGAGAAAAAACAATACAGGATAAAGGAGTGATTCATCACTAAATTTAGAAAATCAGCTGTGTTCTAAAACATGCAGGAAATGAGCTGGAACCAGACTGCAGCGCCAGGTATGTCAGCTCCACTTTTTTCCAACAGATTGGACCGGCACTCTGAAGTTGCAAGTGTCGTCTTCTGGCCACAGGGGGCAGTGAGTGACATTTCCATACTAGTTTAAGAAAATGATGACAAAAATATGAAAAAGTTACACAGTATGTCTTTAAAGTTGATTCACTAAACAAACTTTGCTTCACCAGGGGAGCAACTTCAGGAATGTTTGGTTGTGATGCACAGCTCCTCATCTGGAGAGAGCTCAAACTAAACACACTTCCTACCAACCCAAAAACATGGCGGTGCAGAGGTGATGTTTAAGGGTTAAAGAGAACAATTGTCTGTTGACTCAAAATTTTTTACTTTTAGATAATTTGTCTGAGAGATGATCCAAATGGTCCAGATTGGGTCATGCAATGAGACAATGTCACTGAAGTGAATTTTAAAGAGGAACGATGCACAAAAATCACAATAAAATTAAGACAAAATGGTGGAAATTTCCCACATGGTCATACAGATAACAATAACTCATTTAATGTTGCTTCATTTTATTAAATAACTTAATATTATCATAATTATTGTCTTCAATTAACCAAGTAAAAAGGGACTGAGGAGGAGCTAACATCTTTCTATGAAGTTCATGATCACAACTTTGAGTACTTACTCTAATTTTGACCATGCATTTTTCTAATAATAGCCGCAGTTTCTGGAAACTTGAAATTATTCAAAATGGACCTGGTCAGTTGGTCTCTCAACGCGATTGACAACATTTTTTCATCAATGAGAACGGGAGAAGGGGCTCCCAGATGCCCCTCTGGGACAGAGCCAACTGGGTATATCATGGACTCCTGGAAACAGTGGAACCTGATGTCCCTCTCTCAACTGTCTGTAGAGGATTCTGAAGACGTCTGGATATTCGTGGTGTTGGGGTCAGGTTTCTTGCTGTTTGGCCTGAGAGGTTACCTGGCTTACCGAAAAATTTATGAGCTGTCGAGGAATATCGTCTCAATCCCGGAGTTCAGGGATGGATTACACCGCACTGTGAACGCATTAACTCATATAATTGTCGAGATGAGTCGTAAGCTTGGAACTTTGGCTGAGATTCAGGCTCTGGCACAGAAGGTTGATGCCATCAAGGATAGAGTTGACAGATCAGCACAGGTTGGGATAGATTAATTATGAAATTATTGGATTTAGAGGGGTTGGAGATCAACAAAACTTTAAGACAGAGAAGAAATTATCTCTGTCTGGCACCAAAACAAGTTCTTATCTGAATCTGGTGCCCTTGAGCCTGTGAGGCTGAAGTGATTACTCCCCCTCAGAAGAAATGTGGAATGCTGCCGTCGCCATGGTAACTCTGTCTCCCTATCCCAGCCTGGGCAGAACTGAGACCGGTGAAGGCCGTTGAATCGTTTCCAGGAATCACTCTGCTCTCTTACCCAAATACCTCCCTCCCCTGTCCAAACGGAGGTGACGAGCGCTGCTTATCGCGGCTGCATGCACTGATGTGAGGAGAGTCCCCAACCCTACCTCCCCACCTAGTGGACACTTATGTTGTGTGATGTCTGAAGTCTGTTGCATTTCTGTCTGAGGTGTTTTTTGCATAGCAAAGCTGCCCTTCCTGTGGAGGGTAACTCTGAAGAGCCTTTTTTTCCTCCACCTGACTCTATTCTCATATGAACCCTCTGATCTCTGTTAAGGTAGCGCGACTCGGGTTCTGAATGACCACAGTCACCAATTCTTGTCATGTGTCTACACCTATGTCTGTATGTCTGATCTCAGAATTGTGTGTACTGAAACACTAAGTTCCTTCTGGGATTAATAAAGTATCTTTGAATTGAATAGAATTAAATTGAATACAAAGCAACACACGCGCAAACACACACAGCTCGTTGTGTGTTAGGCGCATAAGATGCACTGTAGAGATAAACAACCCACACTATAGAGGAACTGAAAAATGTGCCATGGGAACCATGATGTTCATTTGTCTCAACCACACCTAAAGTTACCTCCAAACACAAACAAACACAGCAAACAACCAGTTTTCATTTCAGATTTAATATGGAACAAAAACAACTACAAAATTGTTCATTTAAATTAAAAAAATTCTACATTAACACAGATATTTAGCTGAAAGTGTTGCATTCTGCCTGACTAATAGGAGTTGAATAAACAGAGAGGAAATTACAAGACAAAATTTACTTCTGCTTGCTTTTCAGTCAACTTCAGGGGAGGTATGGCCTTTACTTTGTGTGTGTGTGTGTGTGTGTGTGTGTGTGTGTGTGTGTGTGTGTGTGTGTGTGTGTGTGTGTGTGCCAGAGAGAGAGGAAGAGAGACAAGTGTGAGACAGAAACTTTCCAAACCAGAGTGAGTGAGAGTTACACTGACAGTCAGCCTGCTTAAGGGAGGAAACTCAACACTTGGCATCTCAGTGACTTCCAAAGACACGAGACAGACACAATCTCAAGGTAATTACTAACTTCATTACTGTTTGTATTTATTTTCTTGTAAATAAAACGCAATATTCACATGAAGAAACATGCCAGATAGATTAGCTTCAACAGACGGGTGCAGTCAGCTGTTTATTTGCAAATAATCACATTTCTGACATTTGTGTTTATTTTTAACCCTCTGAGACAGAAAAAAACTGGTGATTCATTTGCAAGTAAAACAATTATTATAGTATTAGAAATAAAAAAAATTTTGCAAATGAACAGGAATTGAAATGTTTGCATATGAGTGGAAAGCAAAAGCATCAAAATAAATGTGCTTTCTTCTAATGATTTTCGCTCGGTTAACGCTCATTTGCTTGTGTTCGTTAAGCTAACAGTGGAGGTTTGACTGAATCTGTGAAGTTTAAGCGTCATGCGTGATGCTGAGGTGTAAAAGAACATCTGGTGATTTGGTTCTGTTCAACACAATTGTTTCCACTCACACCTATTTGCATGGACAAACATACGTTTTCACTTCTATGAAAAACTTCTCCAGTTTAGCAGAAATTTGGGAAGTTGTTGTCTAATGCAAATGAATCCAAATGTGTGTGCAAAGCTGAGGGAGAAACTTTAAAAAAGTATCAGTCGATCAGAACGTTGAACCCTTGTATGTGAAAACAAACAAACAAACAAACTTGTATTTAAAACAGTTTTCCCCAGAAGCAAAAACATTTTATTCTTATTCCCTGTTGTTGCCTCACGTAAACATATGAGATAAATTACTATGAAAAATATGCAAATGTTTTGTCTAATTCAGTTCAATTCAATTCAAAGATACTTTCTTAATCCCAGAAGGAAATTAGAAACTTCCTGTTTCAAGAATCTTAAAGAATCCGTTTTAAATGAAGCATTTTGATCCATTTCTCAGATTGGGCATGAAGTCTAAAGCGGTGACCTGCAGCAGGAGGAGTGGCGACTGAAAACGGCGAAGCTCAGTGGCTCAGTCAGGTAAAGAGCTGAGTTTTCACATATTTGCATGGCTGGTTTTGCATCCTTTGGTGGCAAAACAACTGTTTCAATAGTTTGCTGTTGCACACGCAGGATGGGCTGCACTTGCAGTGACCAGAAGCAAGAAAAAGATGATGGATTCCTCAAAAGGTACGCCATCTCTCAGGATCTGAAGGCGTCAAATCATACAGTAAGTGGAAAATGAAGCCTTGTTTCCTTAAAGCTCCAAATTAATTAATGCATCTTGAGATGAAATCACATTTCACCAAAACATTATTTTTCCTGCTTTATAGGAAAAAAACACAAACTCCCACTCAGCTAACGGTAATAAGGAACCTCTTTTTTTTGTTTCTTTATTATTTGTAAAACTGACTTTAAAAAAAAAGGTTTGACATTTGCAGGACTGAGCAGAATGACGAAACCAAACTTTGTGATTCTAATCACGGCTGCATTTCCTCTGCTGTCTTCTGGGGATAAGATAAACAAGATTACGGGCAGAAAAAAAGCCATTTAAGCTAACGACAGCATTAAGAAAAGAGTGCTTTGTAGCCAAGAATGTCATGCAACATGTTGAATTTATTATATTTTATTTGTGAGTGCAGTACTGGGAAATACTGTACATGCATGGCAAAAATCATAAAAAGGTAAGAAATTAACATCAAATGACATGTCGATCTCTGTTTGTCCAGATGAGAACGTGTTTGTGGCACAGCACGACTTTAAAGCGAGCAACGAAAGTGATCTAGCTTTCAAAAAAGGAGACAGAGTCAAAGTTTTGCAGGAGTAAGTGTCGTCCTGGATCCCAGCAGTTAGAGCATGGATAATCCTTAATAATCTGTATTAATCTGTGTTGTAGGAGTGGAGAATGGTGGCTGGCAAAGTCACTGATCACTGGACAAGAAGGATTCATCCCATCTAACTATGTAGCTAAAGAAAACACACTGGAGGTGGAGAAGTGAGAGCCAGTTTTGATATACACGACGTTACATTTGCTGTGTGAACTGAGTTGTTGAACAGCTTCCCCCGCCGCAGGTGGTTTTTTAAAGATTTGAGTAGGAGGGAGACCGAACGGCTGCTTTTAGCCCCCGGAAATAAACCAGGCGCCTTTCTTGTGCGAGAGAGTGAAACTAGCAAGGGTGAGTTTGTTTCTGCAAAACAGAAATTTTGTTGATTACTTTAAAAAAAAATTAAAACCCTGCTTAAATCTGATATCATTTAATAAATGATGTAGGCTATTTGTGATCATTTTGATGAAATAACACGTGTCATCACAGCCAAATGTTAAATGGTAAATCACTTGTTTTTGTATAGTGCGCTCTAGGGTTCTACCACCCCCCAAGGTGCTTTACAACACAGTAATGCCCATCAGCACTCAGATTATGTGTTGCGGATGACTGCTACCAGCATGTGAAAGTTTTGCTCAACCTCTGTAGTAATCTAGACAAACTGTAGCAGTAACAAAAGGTTTTGCTCGGCAGGTTGGTCTAGCTATTTTCCATTATAGCCTCACCAGGTCTACTACTGCAATTCTAGGTCAGGCCAATCACAGCACTCCACATTTTTAGAGAGATGTTGGGTGGCCAAGCACATGGTGCCAAGGCAGACTGCCCCATTGATAGCTTCCATAGTGATGGTCATTGCTCTGATTGGTCATAGCGCTGTCTAACTGAGTGCAGAGACAGTTTGAAAAACAAACAGATTCTGCCCCACAGCTGAGCTCTGTCTAAGGGTCGTGGCCAGACTGTATATTTACATAAATAGGATGGTAGGCTATAAAGTTGGCTGAGTTCCTGGCAATTTTATTTTGGTTAGTGCTGATCAACTGTGGCGGCCATATTGCATTTGGTTGACTCTTCACTCAGAAATTTAGCAATACTTCCATGCATAATTTAGTGGGATCACAGCTAGGATTCTGAGCCACTTAGAAAGAAAGAAAAAAGATTTTATAATATGGTTAAAATGATGAAAACAATGTAGGGAAAGGGAAAAAGAAAATAAATAGTAAAGAGGGAAATCAGTGGAAAGGTGAAGTTGGTAGAGAGCAGAATAAGGAGAAGGTGGTGATGAAGGTCACACAAAAGCCAGCCTGAACAGGTGAGTTTTCAGCTTACTTACAGAAAATGGGACAACCCATTAACGTTTTATGCAGAACTGGTTACACCTTCATCTACAAGCTCAGAAACAACACTGTAAGAAATAAAATGTTGCATTTACTTAACCAGTGCCACTAAGTTGCTTAAACATTAAGAGTATGATACATAAGTTGTTATGGTATAAATAACCAGGTTTAGTGGAACTAGTTCACATAATTTGATTAAGTAAATTCAACATTCCATTTCTTACAGTGTAAAAGCGTGTTGCTTTGAAATTAACTAAATTAATCCTGAGTTATTTTGGACATGAACCAAATCATTACAACACATCTTTTTTTAGCTTGTCGGTGAGAGATACTAACGCTTCAACCTTCAAATGATCACCCTTCATCTTTGTCTTCATCCCTCCTCAGGGTCGTACTCGCTGTCAGTCAGAGACTGCGACCGAGAGCAAGGAGATGTGGTAAAACACTACAAAATACGCTGTCTGGATAAAGGTGGTTTCTACATCTCCCCCTCCAGTACCTTCCCATCCCTGCAGGAACTGGTCAAATACTACAGCCGTGAGTTTTACACAAAAGTACACTGAAAAAACTGAATTTCAAAGAAGTTTTTTTAAAAGCCTTGTTTAGATATTTTATCTTATGGTTAGCCCAAAAAGAAAAAAAAAATATCTTATCTGAAAAAGAACACTACTCACTTGGTCTAGAACCTTAAGTCTAACGGTTAGATTCATTCATACACACATTTATAGTTTCTAAAGTGTTTATCGATCCGACCGTAGGTTTCAGCTTTGCTGTCTCTGTTGAGTTTCAGTTAAAGTCTAAAAGTGAGGCTTTGTGATACATATTTGCAACACATTCTCACTCCCAGCACGTCAAAAACAAACGCTTGGTCGGCCACCCTCCGCCTCATACCCCTGAAGTGCCCTTTTTCGTCACTTATGTGTGAAAAAGGGTTTTCTCTTTTCTGTCTGCAGAACCCAGTGCAGCGTAAAACTGACATGATGGGATATCTGCTGATGCGGCACCAAACTGGCTCATTTAACCGCACCTAAACCTTAACGTTTTACTATTTATAACCTTCCCCTCACCCTCCTAACCTTAACCCTCTTGCTACCTAAAACGTTACTCTCACTGTGATCAAGCGTTTGCATTCTGACTGTGAATTTTCGTATTTGCCGCCCAAGGGGAACGTTAGAACATACCATGTGGCGAGGGGGAGGTTACACATACCCTCTACTTTTAACCTCCACCGTGGTAGTTGAAACCTCCCCCTCGCGTTGGCTCGGTCCAAACCCGGCCAATGGCGAGGCGGCTCCCGCCGTTCACTTCATAGAGCCGGCTTTTAGAGTGACCATCACTAACGTGTTCGCTAGCAAGAGGGTCAAGGTTAGGATAGGGGTGAGGGGAAGGTTAAATAAGAGGATAAGGTTAGAGTGAGGTACAATGAGCTTGTTTGGTGCCCTGGCTGTGGACATCCCATCGTGTCAGTGTAACGCTGCATTGGGATCTGCAGTCAGAAAAGGGAAAAACCCCTTTTCACACATAAGTAGCGAAAAAAGGCTCTTTTGGCATCAGGGGTCTGAGGCGGAGGGTGGCTGACCAAGCGTTTGTTTTTGACGCGCTGGGAGTGAGAATGTGTTGATATTTGCATTTCCGCTGAATATGTTTGATAGTATTTCTTCCCCTGAGCCTAAACCACAAGATAAGAAGGTTAAATGTAGCAGTGGGCTGCAAAAAGCACAGCAACTTTGATTAAAATAAGGCACACACACAAGCACTGAAAGAAGCAACGTTCCGTATCAGAGATGGAAACAAGAACTGCGTCGTTTTAGCTAAATTTAGCTTAAGGTAGTGTTCTCTAAATTAGAGTGTTTGACGCTCTGGTGCAGGCACTGCAGATGGGCTGTGTCTGCGGCTGTACGAACCCTGCAAGCAGAAGGCCCTCCAGCAGCCATGGGCGCAGGATGAATGGGAGATTCCCAGAGAGACGCTGAAAATGGTGAAGAAACTCGGGGCAGGGCAGTTTGGAGAAGTTTGGATGGGTGAGACGAGAAGCTCCTTCTGGTGTTTGGAAACGTAAAAAAAATCCAACAAATCACCTGATCGAAGTTATTTATTAATACATCTCTACGGCAGGTTATTACAAGAGCACGCAGAAGGTTGCTATAAAGACATTAAAAGAAGGAACGATGGAGCCAGAGGCCTTTCTTCAGGAAGCTAACTTGATGAAGCAGCTGCAGCATGAGCGGCTGGTGCGACTGCATGCTGTGGTCACCAAGCACCCAATCCTTATCGTCACAGAGTTCATGATCAATGGTGAGTCCATGAAAAATTATACATATATATATATATATATATATATGTATGTATGTATGTATATATACAGTATATATATATATATATATATACACACACAGTATATGTATACACATATATACAGTATATATATATATATATATATATATATATATATATATATATATACTGTATATATACATACACATATATATATATATATATATTATATATATATTATATATATATATATATATATATATATATATATATATATATATATATATATATACACACACACACATATATAACACAATGGATTTTCAATGAGAAATTAAAAGTTCAGATATAAGACATGAAAATGTAGCAAATATTATGTTTTTTTAACCAAAATAGCCATTTCAAAATATTTTTAACACATCATCATGTTACAATGTGAAGAGCTTATCACATTCGTTAGCATTTAAATTGATGTTTTTAATTAATTCACTGTAAAAAAAATCTGAATCTGTAATTTTAATGTATCATTATTTAATTTCCTGCCTGAACTTTATTCCATTAAATTTCAATTACAAAACATTTATGTTGGTTTTCATGTAAATTTTAATAAAAAATAAAACTCCTGTAAAAACCTATAATACAACTTTTCCCTAGATTTGTACAGTGCATTTAGTCCTTTTTACATCTGTTACCTCGTAGAAGTGGTCCTGAAGGTTTTCAAGAGATTATATAAACCCAACAGCTAAGTGTTTAAAGGCACATACACACTTTATCTTAATTACTACACAGGCACAAAAACAACAAAACAAACATGTGAAGGTTGTTTAAAAGTAAGCACTTCTTTCGTTTGCAGTGAAGCTTTGCTGCTTATAATGACGTTGGAATTAAATGAAAAGCAAAAACAAACATTTAAAAAGGTTAGTGAACCGCTAAACCTTTTGCATTTTAGTCTTTTTGTTTTATGGGTAATTCTGTTATGCATCACTTCAGTAAAAAATCCTGCTGGCTGTACTTTGGACATCTTTCCAGGCCCAACTTGCCTTTGATAGTGTAGCATGAAATGTGTCTGTTAAATCAACAAACATCACCAAATAGATCAAATGTGTTAAATATTCACACAGAATTGTGTCATTTATTTATTTGTTTGTGTATTCATTTAATTAATTATTTATATATTTTTATTGTTCTTTAGATTTTCTCAGTAATCCATATTAATGTAATTTGTTAATTAGTGAAACATTGACTTGTAAATGAAAATGCAGTATATTGTTTAGTTTTTTTAAAGGAATAGCCATGAGGTTGTTACAATTTGATGGTAAACATGCACAGTCCTCTAGAGAGGAGCCTTTTTTGGAAACTGGAAACTTCTCATCAAGTTAACGCAGGAAAAATATGCAAACAAGATGAAAAAATCACTATTTTGCTTATCGAATTGGTCAAATTTCTGTTATTGGTTGTTCAACTAAATTTTGACATGAAACTATAAGAAATATGATTATTTTTAAGGTGATAAGACAACTCGTCTAATTTATGAATGATGATATCGTCTTACTGTTGTTAAGATTATATAATTACAGCACGAAATTTAGTATTTCTGCTCACTTTTTAAATTGAATCACTTCCCTTTTCTTAATCACAGGATGCCTTCTTGATTTTCTGAAAACTGAGGAAGGAAAGAAGCTGAAGATGAATAAGCTGATCGACATGTCAGCACAGGTGAATGAATGAATAACTTTTATTTCATGTGGAGGGACAGTGTGCATTAATAAACATTTCACAATGTAAATGTACCCAATTATAGCCAAAAGGTTCATTTCCATTGGTAGTCCCCCTGCCGATTGGCACATAGTATAAAACAACATTTAAAGTTATAAACATTTTAAAAACAATACAAGTTAAACAACATTAGAGAGTACATGGAGGAGGTGGAGCTAAGCGGTTTTGATCTTGTACGTAAGACAACAGTTTTAAAAAATGACAAGATTGCTCCAGTTTAGGAGCCTATATTTACTAAGGATTGTGCAATGATGAAAGGACCTTGTTTTTTTTTAATCTAGAATTTTGATAGCCTGTTTATATAAAGATTTTAACCTACTTAAAGTGGTGGAGTTTGCAGAGGCCCAAGCAGGTAAACATTAATGTATGTGAGATTTACGAGAGCAAACATGTACATTTTTGCAGCTTCTGTTGACATGATTTCTAAGGTGCTTAAAATTTACAAGTGTGGAATTTATACATGTGGTCACTTTTTTAACATGTTGTTTAAAAGTGAAGTTACTGTTTAAAATAATACTTAGATATTTGTATTCATTTACATTTAGAATTCTCTGTCCAGAAATAACAACATTCAGGGCCAGATGAACACTTCGTTGTACCCTGGGCAACAATATTCAAGGGCCCCATCATCACGACCCAAGGATCACCATAAAATGGTCATATACAGAATATTTTACTGTAATATGCAGTAAATATACTCAATACTTGAAATTCTAACTGTCATCAGGTGTATTTTGATTTACAGATATTTAAATGCTCATAGAACTACAAATGCACTACTATGTCCCCTATCAAAGATACCCACTCACATATGATGCTATGAAAGCAAAACACATCAGCATCTGTATAATCTGGTCAAATTGACCCATTACATTGGGTCAAAATGAGTAAATAAGCAACCACTTAGAAACGATCATTTATTTAACAACACTTATTCCCAATAGAAATGTATTGAATTGATAGAGCTATCACAGAATACCACAGAGAACACATCAAGAAACATTTTGGTCCTAAGCTCATTTTAAGCAGAAATCACACTGACATGGAGACCCTGTCACCTCAGAAATCAACAAGGCAATCAAGTTATTAGTCCAACACAAACTATTTAAATCTGCCAGTTATCCTTCCACAACAATTTTCACCATTTTCATAAAGCTCGCACCCCAAGGAAAATAAACAAAATGCAACATCACTATTATCTGCTCGTTAACATTTTGATCCTAAGCTCATTTTAACTTGTTTTAAAATAGAACAACATGTCACAGCACAAATAACCAGTTAAACATTTTAGTGCTACATAAACATTTAGAAATCTGGACTTTGACTGTGCGAACTGGTGTATAACGTCTTCAAAATCAAAGCCACCAACAAGTTCATGTCCAATAGCTACAACAGTAAGTGCAGAGCTGCATCTGTGACACAATTTCTCTGTAGAAGACAAGATAAAAATACTACAAAACCTGGCAAAAACACACAATTTTAATCCTAAATAATCAGGAAGTGCATGTTTGCTTTCATTTGGCATCTTATACTGGCTTTTTTCTGGACTTTGACTGTGCAAACTGGTGTACAATATCTTCTAAATCAAGGCCACTAACAAGTTCATGTAAGAGAGAAAGTGCAGAGAGCCGAGTCTGTGACATTGTGGTCCTCAGTTCATTTTTTACCTGTTTCAAAACAGAAACGGGAAAAAAAAATAAAATTACAGATTCAGTTTTTAAGACAGTGTAAGTAATTTTCAAGTGCACCTGGAGCCCGCTGTATTTGCCCGCCATGTCGTTCCACAAATGTAGAATGACCTTCCAAGCACTACCAGAACAGCGGCTTCCTTTTCAATTTTCTAGAAACTCCCGAAGACCCTGCTCTTCAGAGTGCATCTTCTTAACTAGCACCCTCCCTGCATCCGTCCCTCCTCTCTACCGTCCACTCCTTGTTCCCTACTCTCCATGATTGATGTCAATGTTGTTGTTGTTATTGTTGTTGTTAGCCTCAAGGGCAACATGCCAATTATCACTTGTAAGTCGCTTTGGACAAAAGCGTCTGCTAAATACATAAACATAAACATGTTGCTAGCATTATCGTAGCTTTGGCCACGACAGTTTGACAAGTCTAACCCCAAATGACGCACCATTTCAATCACAGATTCAACTAGGCTGACACCTGTGTGGCTGTGGATGGGCTCAAACCCGAGGAATCTTTCCACTACTCTGCCATCTGCACTGACAAAATGAAAAACAGATGTGAGCTGATCTGCATGTGCTAAATCTGGTGTTGAATCAACAATTACAGAGAAATATTTTGCACGTTTGAGTTCCTCTGCAATCACTTGCTTAGTTTTTTCACCCATTAATGAAATACATTCTTCACACACAGTTGATGACAATTAAGATGGCTTACCTCTACCCTTACTGCCATGTCTCTCAAGGTGCTCCTTTGAAAAGGGGTCAAACTCTGCTAAAAGTTCAAGCGGTCCCAGATAGTTCCCATTGTGCGCAGAGCCCAGCAGTTCGTTGTCGCCTCGAAACGACATTCCTTTCGCTCCTAAAAATTTGACAACAGCCACCGCATGTCTGAGGACTTCCTTCCAGTACTGCTGTTCTGACTCACACTGTCGGGCAAGAGAAGCGTCCACTCTGCATGCATATTTAGATCTGTGCAATAAAGACAGCATGTTTTGGCTATGTTGTGCACTCTTTTCGTGATCACTAACCCTTCCTGGATGTTTCCAATCACAGAATCCGCTGATGAATGCATGCTTTTGGGATGACGGAAGTTTGCAGGCATAACAATAAATTGATCCAGTTGATGGCGAGTAAAGAAGCCATTCTCTTGGCACAATTTGATTGTTTGGAAGCCGGCAGTGAAGCAAATTATTGGTGCGGGAGCGTGTTCTACTTCCAAGTCCGGACTCCCTTACCGATGCAGGATACTTGGCGGCCCGGTTCTGGAAAGCTGCAGGCCCTCGGTAAATCGCTTCTTGCCGGAGCCGCTCCGTAACGGCCCCCCCACAGGATCCCCAGGGAGTAGAGGCGTTGAGATGCAGGGGTTGCTCCCAGACTCGACAAGCGGCTCCGGTGGCGGTGAAACTGGAGACCCGCCATTACAGCTTTCCTCAGCGATCAGACTCGCTGCCTGTGGTTTGTTGCTTGAAGTTGATGCTGCTGGCTCTTTGCTCTCCGGGCTGTAAGTGTAAGCTGGTGTTGGCGGTGTAGAAAAGCCCTGGCTAGCTGAGTCCTCGCCATTGACGGAAGCTGACTCAACAGGAGTAAAGAAATTACATATTTTAGGTGTATATTTTAAGTTTTCTGCATTTCTGATGCCCTTTTCCTTTTTTAATTTCCGTTTCGCGCCACCACTTGGCTTCTCCATGTCTGTTTTTTTCTGTTGTAGCAACGCCTGATGTCACGTAACCCGCTCGGCGTAACCTTTGACCCACTTCGTGTGGACTGACCAATGAGGAGAGGGTCTTAACTTGAGGCCCTCTCTTCATTGGTCAGTCTGCATGAGGCTAACTCTCAACCGCTCTCAACTGACGTTCAAAGTCATAGGCAGTGAAGCCTCTCTGTGCAGTGCAAAAGCCCGGTGGACAGTTTGTTTAATATAAAGCGGGAGATTACAGATACAATATTGTGCTTGTGCCCTTGCTGCCCTGGGCCAGGGCTCTTTAGAGCTTGTGGGCCCTGGGCAATTGCCCGGTTGCCCATATGGTTAATCCGGCCTTGACAACATTAGGTTCTGTGTAAACCTTTTTTCGTGTTTTAGTAAAAAACTTTGCAACAGTTTTAGAGAAATTTAGTTGTAAATGACAGCTATTCTACCAGTTTGAGACATTTACCATGATCTTTGTAAGTTGTGCAGCTGCCTCAAAATGATCATCACCTTTGACAAAAATCACGGTATCATCTGCATACATAAGCACTTCACAACCATGACACACAGATTGTAGGTTGTTAATGTAAAGACTGAATAGAATTAGGCCCAAGATTGAGCCCTGTGGTACACCTGTAACAAGATCTTTAAAAGAAGATCTGTTATTTTGTATTTTGACACACTGAGTTCGATTAGTGAGATATGATTTGAACCAGCTGCACGTAAATTGTGAAAAATTAAACTGAACAAATTTAGACTGGAGGATATCACGGTTAGCCGTGTCAAACGCTTTTCGTAGATCTAAAAAAACTGTACCAACCACCCCTCCTATGTCTATCATAGACTTAACCCTTTCAACAAAGTTCAACAAAATGTTCATAATATGAGTAATAGGTTTAATTAATGAACAGGCACTCTACCTAATCATAGTAGAGTTCATTTCATACACATCTTAAGGTAGGAAACCTTATTATTTGAGCAGTGTTAATGTGACATTTCCATTCTATTAATAATCTGTGTGTCTATCAAAGATTATCACCGATCATTCGCTAAGCACCGGAAACGTTTCAAGTTTTCATCTGAATTCTTCCTTAAATCCTCTTTTTTTAAGTTGATGCTGTTCTTTCTGTTAGCTTTTAGCATTTAGCTCATTGGTATCCTTAAAAAAACTAACCTTAGCCTTAATACTGACCTCAAAGCCAACTTACACCCAAATGTCGCTCTACAGTAGCAATGCTCTTGTTACAGTAGAGCATTCCTTTTGACATCAGTCATGATGTGAACACACAAGGAAACTGTCAACAGGAGCTGTGTGGTTTCTGCGGCGGGGCTTCTGTGTTCGTCTGGCTTGAAAGCCTCGCGCTACGTCAATTATTAACATCCGGACAGGAAGTTGTGCTATTTTTCCATCCACACTGAGCCCTCCCTTCTTCTACTATAATTTTTTGCCCCCTGTGAAAAACTTTTAACTTCCTGATAGCTGGCACATCCTGTTAAGCCCCCTCCTTTCCAATCGCCTCATCTGTTACCATGAGTCGTCACACACATGCAGCAGTTATTCCATGTGAACAATGTGCACATTCACTGTAAGAAATGAAAAGTTGAATTTAGTCAACCGAGTAATGTCACCTGGTTCCACTAAACCTAGTGCTCAAAGGAACATTTCATAATTTTTATGCTTCTCCGTCCTACTGGTTGAAAGCAGAATTACAGCTGGTGTTAAAAACCCTGCTATAGAGTCTAAATGCTCATAAACATATATATGTGACACAAGACTAACTATTATGCTGTTGGTTTAAAAAGCAGCAATGTGACTCGTTACACATTGACTTTAAAACATTCGTCTTAAACATGTTCAGATAAATTGTGTTTAAAACAGTCATTTCTTTCATTAATCTGCCCAAAAGCATCACATTTTCTGGAAGCATGTGGATAAGAAATGTGTTAATATTACAAATATAGTTAAAAGCCACCTTGTGATTGCCTATATTTGTGATGTTTATATCTTCAATAATCGGCACACAGGTCTGCTGAGCAGAATGAGCTGTTATTTTTTAGAATTTCTAAAGCCTGGGGCACACCGGAGACAGGCGCACCACGGAAGCACTGCAGTTTTGAAAAGTCAAGTGGTCACATGGAAAGCGCCATGTTGCTGAACGTGGGACTTGAGAACATGAAGCAGGAAGTGACTCTATTGCTTATACGTGATCAGACTTGCCGTTGTGTTTTCTGAGACTCTAATTCATTAAAAATGATGTTTGCTATTTGTTAGAATATTTTAAGATTAATAGTACTTTAAAGTTATCAAAACTGCGGCTGGATTTGTGCCGTAAAACCGTCCCGCGTTGTAATGTCTGTTGTAAAGTACTCCACATTGTCGTAACCAGCCGCGCCTCAGAGCTTGAAATAGAAATGGCATCTATCTGTAGTGCCTCGGCGCTGCGCTTCTGGGATGCTGCGCTGCGCTCCCCATGCAGCCACTCTCAGTAACTACAATGGCTTCTATTTAAAGGATAGTGTGGGTGTGGCGCATCTGTCTCCGGTGTGCCCCAGGCTTAAGAGAGGCAGAAGTTTGCATCTAGAGCTTAATTTTTGTCCCTTCTCGTCAACCAAAAACCCCAAACGTCTGGTTTTGTTTTAGTCACCAAAGAGCTTTTCTTAGCTTCGGTGTCTCGGTTTTGTTATTGGAAAAAGGGACGTGAAAGAAATAATGTAGTCATTGCCGTCGTTGACGAAAACACATGGTAAACAGCTATTACCATAAATCAGGTAGAGACATCCCATGGGTGCCCAATACAGTTTATTCTTGGAACTAGGTTTAGTGGAACCAGTTGACCCAACTTGATTGAGTTAATTCAACATTTTATTTTTTACAGTGTAGTTTTTCAATATGCTGTAAAACTCATGTTTAGTTCTGCAGTCGCATTTGCTTTCATCATGTTAACAGATAGCTGAGGGGATGGCGTTCATCGAAAAGAAGAATTCTATCCATCGTGACCTGCGTGCAGCTAATATTCTGGTCAACGAGACGCTGCACTGCAAGGTCGCAGACTTTGGCCTGGCGAGGATCATCGAGACTGAGTACACGGCTCATGAAGGTGAAGAATGGGCAGAATCTCACAGAAAATGTGTTTGTTGAAAAGTTTAGAAACACTGAGGCCCTGAACTCAAGCTGCACAAAAGTACATGTTTTACATAAAAACTGAAATTTGAATATTCAGTCTTCATAAGTGAGAAACTTCATGTTTTTATTATTAAATAAATCAAAAATAATTTACAAACACATTTTTTTACCCTGAAACTTTAAGAAATGGAACTCTATTTAAAGAATATATAAGATGATCACATAACATTGAATTAATGTCTAAGTGTTTTGATATTTCTAATACGCCTGAATTTATGTTTGCATTAAAACAAGAACTTGCAGATTCTTTACTTTTTTCATTTTTATAGAGTCTCTTCTTAGTGTTGTCAAAATGAAGCTGTTAAAAGATCAAGGTCGCTCCTCTGACAGGAAGTTGGATCAGTGGCGTTACAATTTTCTCATGTTACTGCTTCCAGCTTCTCGAAACTTTATTAAAGTTTAATTTAAAGTTCAGCTGGTGTTAGGAAAACCAAAACTAGGTACGGGATTGGAAAACATGTTTATCATCTTTAGAATGAAAAAGCCTCAGTGGGTGGGTTTCTGTGAAGATGCTATGAAAAGATAATATCTTACCTGCTACAGATGGCTCTTTGAACTCAGTTTGGGAGAAAAGAGCTTAGTTGAGAACTGATTGATAAGCTAACAGCTAGGCATGGTACCAACTGCGGTTTTATGGTTAACAACCTTTCTACCGAACCTGAAAGATCAAAGACATCCTTTTATTTTTATGTGTTTCTGTTGATAATAAACACCAAGATAACATAATTCTATTAACGTTTATACCTCACATGTCATCAAAAACGAATAAAACCTCCCACGCAAACATCTTTTATGCCACCATGGGCTAGTGACAACATTTCCTTCCATTTTTCTCCTCAATTTCAAATGTAGGAGCTAAGTTTCCCATCAAATGGACAGCTCCAGAAGCGATCAACTACGGCACATTTAGCATCAAATCTGACATCTGGTCTTTCGGGATCCTGCTGACAGAAATCGTCACCTACGGGAGAATCCCATACCCGGGTAAGGAAATTACAAATCAGAGCTTATTAAAGTACCTGCTAGGTTTGTTTATTTATTTATTTTTTGTTCATTTTTCCTGACCAGGAATGACCAACCCAGAGGTGATCAGGAACCTGGACAAGCTCTACAGAATGCCACAACCAGACAACTGTCCCGAGGAGCTCTATGAGATTATGATGACGTGCTGGAGACAAAAACCAGAAGAGCGTCCGACTTTTGAATTTCTACAGAACACTCTTAATGATTTCTTCATTGCTACGGAGGGACAATATGAGATGCAGCCCTAGCTAGCATCAAATACATACAAAAAGGTAGAAACGTTTCTTGTTGAGCATCAGAAAACAACAGACTTTAATGACTGAAGATCATCTTTTTGACTCGCTCAAACGATTGAATTCAAACAATTCATCAGAACGAACATCAGAGCTTCTCTTGTTTCTGCTGTCAGCAGCGGAAATGAACAACTGAAGCAAATCAAAGACTTCAACTCAACTCATGTTCATTCCACTGACTTTACTTTGACTATTTCAGCTTTTGGTTTTCAAATGAGTCAATGGAGTGTGGGTAGGCACCGGCTGGCATGAAATAATGGAAAAACGACCACGATCGGCAGCCGCTGGACCCCGTGTGGAATTAGTGAAGGTGACTGATGAGTGATACAGAAACCAACTGTTTGAGATGACATGCACAATCTTTTGCACTTTTTATGTTTTATTCAGTTAAGTTGGAAAAAATTGGCTTCCTTATACAAAATGTATATATATATATATATATATATATATATATATATATATATATATATATATATATATATATATGGGGTATGTATGTCAGTATGTATGTAAATAGAGAATCTGAATCAGAAAAGGCGATTTCAACAAGAAATAGAGTGACTGAAATGTTTCTGGTGGGCAGACTGGAGCATTATTTAAGAAATAAGAGTTTGCTTTGCAACTTTAAAAAAGCTAAAAGCACTCGCACGCACACCGGATGCCTCACTTTAAGATAAAATCCACTCAGTTGGCTCCCCCCACATCAACGATATCGAAACATCTGACTTGCTTTGATTTCAATCATCTTAAAGATAAAACAGTCAAATGTCAAAATAAAAGCTCTACTTTTAATGTGAAAAACTGTGAACCACACTGGAACTGTTTAAAAACAACAAACTCGGCTAAATTACAGAAGTTTTCATCCTCCCCAGATGGTATCTTGGAGATAAGAGAGTGGAGTGGCCATGGCAGCCAGGGGTTAAACCCTACCATTTCCTGTACGGACAGGAAACAGGAAGTGTGAGTCAGCATTCTTTAAATGCCACACTGTAAAAGTCCTTCGCTTGGTAAACTGGTCGACATCGGGATGTTTTTCCTACTAAAAATATTTGTTGTAGAAGCAACAAAACAAACCACTTATTATTTATAATATTTAATTACAGCTGAAATAAAGCACTGAATGTCAATGATCAATGAGAGCGAGGTGAATAATAGGTTTTATCATTAATCAATGAGTTTATTGAGTTTTTGTCCATCTGTGCATTTTTCTTGTTTTTTCATAAAAACATGTAAAAGTCACCAAAAAGGCCAGAGCAGGCAGGTTTTCACAGACAATTACTGATAGAGCAGACTTTTTCATTAAGAAGTGCAGCATCTTTCTTTTTTATTACATCCATTAATTAAATTAAATGCATCAAATCATCACATATTCGCCACATCTGCAGTCTCTAAAGGTTCGTTAATTTATCTTGCTTATGAATGCCAGAAGAAATGTTTAGACTGTTTTATTTTCTGCAAGGCTCTTACTGTCAGTGTGTTTTTGAAATCTAGTTGATAATTTATGGAAATTAAACATTTACCTCTATGGTTATTATTATTATTATTATTATTATTATTATTATTATTATTGTTATTATTATTATTATCCATTTATACATTTACAGATGACAAAATGAGCAGTTCTGTCGCTGTCCTGCAGATGTCAGCATCACACAACCTGACATTCAATTGAAACTGATCAAGCTCTTGGCATTTTAGAAAATGTGATGGCATTAGGAACTAAAAACATATACATCTATTGAATATGACCATTTTAATTTAGAATGAACCAAGTTTAGGTGCTTATAATTAACTTTTTGTGGATTGCCCTGGAATGGACTGGCTCTCTGTCCAGGGTGTACCCCGCCTGATTGCCCACTGCGACCCTGCGTGGACAACAGCTGGTTCAGAAAATGGATGGATTGCACAATTTTTGACAGTCTTCCACATATGTTATAGGTAATGATTATCAATTGACGTAGATTACTTCCTGTCAAGTATATATATATATATATATATATATATATATATATATATATATATATATATATATATATATATATATATATATATGTTAAAATTACAAAGAAAAATTTATATTTGTCATAATTTTCTGGCAGCAACCATAATAAATCAGCTTTTGATATACTGACTTGTTATACGTTAGAGGAAACTAGAGGCAGAAAGCTAATCTTCTTCAATCTTTCACATCATTCATATTTGTTTTTAATGAATTTTTGGACTCAAATCCCATTGTGCCGGTTAAAGGTTAAAGGGTCAGGCGACTCCCACACTGATTATTGAGTGATCCCTGCAGAAGGCATCTCATCATTACCATTTGTGGAGGATAACCTGGCCTCCTCCTCTCTGATGAGGATGAGCATGAAAGAGGCAGACTTTCATCTTCCACTAATGTTTTCAACTGTGTTCACTTTGAATTATGCTCCTCGGCAGCATGTTTTCTCTCCTGGGCTTTTATGTCATTAAACTGATGGAACCCATCAATCACTTGCGTGTGGTTTTAAAGGACGAGAAGACAAAATACTCTTTATTTTGTAGCAAACAGAAACATGAATTAGTTTTCTCTGGCCAACACTTTAAAAATAAAAGCTAAAATAATAAATATCATCTCTGACAGCACTTCAATAGATATTTAACTTTAGAAGATTTTTGGCTCGTGGTTAAACTTTTCATTTTTTATAGGTAAAAAACTGTCTAAAAATATTTATTTCAATTCAAGCTGCCAACAAAGTCCTTTTCTATTTAAAAAATGCACACGTCTTACAGGAAGAATAAAACCACAATTCCTAAAAAAGCAGGAAGATTATGCAAAGTGCGAATAAAAACAGAAAATTCACACAAGACAGCAGCTATTATCCTGGCCATACCGCTCAGTATTTACAGAATCATGTTGCACATATCTGCAAACATTACACTTATTTTTTACTCTGTTTTTACAAAAAATTCATTATTTGTTTGAAAAGGAGTAGGCAGAAGTATTTACTTATTTGTCCCTACCCCAAGTTTTACCTCTTGTTCATTTAATTTTCTTTCAATCTTAAATGAAACAAACAACAAATGGAAAAATTATATAAAAAATAAACAAACAACATATGGAAAACAGAGAATGTGTAAATTTTCAGATTCACCAGTTATGAAGAAAAAAGAAAAACCAAACAAACCAAAAAACACCAAAAAGAAGCACAACAGCATAACCATCCACATTCACCGTCCTGGGTTATCCCTGTTTTCTTCATTCTTACACTTATTTAAAATTAGGTTTTTATATTTTACTTTAAACTGGTTTATGTTTTTACTTTCTTTAATCTCTTCTGTTAGACTGTTCCGTAATTTAACTCCTGCAACTGCGACTGACATAGTTTTTAAAGTTGTTCTAGCACTTTGTATTTTTAACTTCAATTTCCCTCTTAAGTTATACCCACCTTCTCTTTCTTTTAACAATACACAGATTTCTTTTGGAAGCACTTTATTTCTTACTTTATACATTACTGGTGCTGTTTTGAGCTTCACCAAGTCTTGGAATTTAATAGCTTGCATTTCGACAAAGAGTGCATTTGTATGGTCCCTGTACCCCACATTATTAATTATTCTAATGGCCTTTTTCTGTATTGTAGTTATCGTCTGTATGTTGCTTTTGTATGTTTCCCCAGACCTCTACACAGTAACTCATACATGGTAGAATTAAAGCACAGTATAACATGTGCAGGGCTTTCTGATCCAACATCTTCTTTGCTTTCCCCAGGATGGCAACGGCCCGTGCCAATTTCCCCCGAACATAAGTAATGTGTGGCTTCCAACAGAGCTTGTGGTCAATGGTCACACCAAGAAATTTTATTTCATTTACTCTTTCTAAATATACATTATCCACACAAATTTCTATTTTGATGTTTTTCTTTTGGTTGCCAAATGACATAAAGCTGTTTTTATCTAGATTCAATGATAATTTATTTATATCAAACCACTTTTTTAATATTGTTAATTCCTGTGTGATCAACTCCAAGACCTGTGGCAATTCCACACCTGAACACAATATTTGTGTCATCTGCAAATATTACAAACTTTAAAAATTTTGATACTCTGCAGATATCATTTAAGTACATAATAAACAATTTTGGTCCCAGTACTGAACCTTGAGGTACTCCACAAGCTATATCCATCAAATCAGATTTGTATTCATTTATTTGTACATATTGTTTCCTATTCCTTACATAACTTTTTAACCAGTCCCCAACGATTCCCCTAAACCCGTACCTTTCCATTTTTTTAATAGGATTTCATGATTAACAGGATCGAACGCCTTTTTTATGTAATTAAAAAAAAACTGAGAGTGCATACCTCTTATTATCAATACAGTCCGTTATCTTTTCCATTAAATCTATCAGTGCCAAAGCTGTTGATCTGTTGCTTCTGACCCCAAATTGGCTATCAGACAGTAATTCATATTTTTCCAAAAAACTGTCAAATCTTTTTATGAACAGTTTATTCCAGTATCTTAGAGAACTGGGAGAGTATCGACACTGGTCTGTAGTTTGTAAAATGATGCCTTTCACCGGTTTTGTAAATGGGAATAACTTTAGCAACTTTCATATCTTGTGGAAAACCCCCTTTATGAAATGACAAATTGAATATATAAGTCAATAACTGTTTTTACTGTTACCATATCAATATCATTCCAATGTGTTGGTTTCGTTCTTAAGTCCTCTAACTATGTCATATATCTTTCTCTTCCACTGCTCTCAAAAACATTGAGCTTCTATTCCTTTCAATATTTTCACCAGTGTCCCTTTCTATTCCATCAACCTTTATTTCTTCTGCCAGTTTTGGCCCTATGTTTACAAAGAATTCATTAAAACCATTTACTATCTCCTTCCTATTATTAATGCTTCTTGTCCCTTCCATAAAGTGCCCAGGGTAATGATGCTGTTTAACGTCTTCCATATATCTCTTGTGTTATTATTTGTACTCTAACACTTTTCAGATGGACTGCATATTGAGCTTATTTTAAGCACTGCTAAAATGTTGAGAAATATCAAATAAAAAGGAGCAGTTTTAATTGATTTTAGCACCCCCTAGTGTTCGTTTTTAATTATCTGTAGTCAAAGCAAAAATGAAACTTGTCTCCTCACTGTGCGTTTGTCTTTTTAACACTTTAGTCTAACTGCTGAAATTACTCCTCAGCCTCCATTAGTTTTTAGAGGAGCGGTTCTTCACTAAATCAAACAAATCAGCTGTGTTCCTGATCTAAAACACGCTGGAAGCAGACTTCATCGCTGGCGTGTCAGCTCCACCCCATTCCACAGCTCCCTCCACCAGCAGGGACCGAACCGGCAACTCTGAAGTTGCAAGTGTGGTGTTCTGGCCACAGTAGATGGCGGGGTCTGAGTGACATTTTAATAACCCTGTAAAGGGTTGTTTTAGCACATAC